GAAAAATTTTTGGTCACAATGTGTAAAATTGATGCCCGGAGGGGTCCTGAAAGTTTGGTGGCGATATCTCCAGCCGTTTAGGAGATATCGACCGAAAAGGACAGGGAGGGGCCGTTTCGGCCCCCCCCCCTACGGGGCGCGGGTTAAGGCCCTATATCGGCTGCTCTGAGGGCCCAGCATCGTAGCTTCTGAAGGCCCCACTAGGGCGCATGTGACGGCCACCCTGCCACCGGTGACATTTGAAGGCCCCACACCGGCGACTCTGAGGGCCCCATCGGCGTCTGAGTCCGTTCCGGTCTCTAAAGACGACCCCACAGGGTTTCTGAAGGTACCACCGGCCTCTGATGGCCCTTTGCCGGCCTCTGAGGGCCCGTCGCCGGTCTCTGGAGCCCCCTGCCGGCTTGTAAAGGGTACGCACCAGCAGCTCTAAGAGTCCGACACCCGTGTACGACGGACCCAAATAAGTGTCTTTGCAATTTAACGTCTTTTTTTCGCCCTTCTTCTTAAAACTCACTTTTCTTTTCTTTACATCTTTATTTCATGCCTTGTAAATTGCGTAATTGTTTTATTTTTTTTGTAGTGAAAGACTGCAGAACAATTATTTTCCTCAAGCAGAGTTAGTGGGAGTTATTGAGGGACAAAACCATTGGGGGTGCCCGGAAAACCATTGGGGGTGCTCATTTGAGCATTGGGGGTGCTGCAGCACCCCCAAATGTATACAAATCGACACCCATGCTTATATAGTCACCTTCTCTGACCTCTGTAGGTATGTACACGCACCTAGCTCTAATCTGTAGGTATAACAGACCTCGGCTCGATACCTATAGGTAGGTAAGTAACCTACAAAGGTGGCAAGGCCTATATTATAAAGGAATGACGATTTGTTTGAAAGCTGAAGGTCTTTCTTTCCGTCAGGGATGCGGAGCCGTGGAAATTTCAGACGGTTCCGGCTCCGGCTCCGGCTCCGGATAAAAAAAAATCGGCTCCGGATCCGGATCCGGGTGAAATGTCATGGCGGCTCCGGCTCCGGCTCCGGATCCGAGTAAAATGGTCCGGCTCCGGCGGCTTCGGCTCCGGCTCCGGCTGGCTCAGTACATCCCCTATTGCAATTAAATACGGGTTGACGAAAAAGACGATGGGATTGGTACACGTTGTCTCTGTATTTGCATAACATGGCTATTTTTGCTTTTAGGGCCTTGGGTATTTTCATATTTTGAATACCACATGTTTTACTGCCTTGTACTGTTAAACCATACCTACTAGGTCAATAAATTTTTCCTCTTCAAAAAAGCAGCCGGAGTCGCCCCCTTTTTTGACGGCTCCGGCTCCGGCTCCGGCTCCGGGCTGTACCTATTGTTGCATGGCTCCGGCTCCAGCTCCGGCTCCGGTCAAAATATGCTGGCTCCGGCGGCTCCGGCTCCAGCTCCAGCTCCGGCTGCGCCCCCCTGTTTTCCGTCCTTTTCATCGACTTTTACATCGGACCCTCCCACCTTCAAAAAAGTTAATGAATTGGCATGAAAGTGATGTCACTCGGTTCAGAAAGAGCAAAAACGAATATCTACCAAATTTCATCGAAAAATATTCACCGTTTTTCAAGATAGGTAGGTATTAGACTTTTATTTTTGAATATGTTTCAACGCTAACTTGAGAGACATTGTAACAAATACCTAGTAAGAAAATTAACCTCACTCTCATTCTATCTAAAAGTAAATTCCGGATTCGAAATAAAACAAACTTTTTGAGAAGCATTCGGCATTGCGCCATCATCAGCTCTCTATGGCGCAATGCCGAAAGCTTCTCAAAAAGTTTGTTTTATTTCGAATCCGGAATTTACTTTTAGATAGAATGAGAGTGAGGTTAATTTTCTTACGACTTTTATTTTTGTTTACTTTTTGGGATCTCCGGCCTCCGCTGTTCCTAGCGATTTATTTCAAAGTGCGGCATTTGTTGCGCGGAAAGCAGCGTATACCACCGCGTGCTACCAAACGTTTTAGTCAAAGATTTAAAATCGTTAGATCTCTCCGCTGACGTCACAAATTCTAAGGGGGCATTCCAATGCATTAGCCCCTTAGAATCCGAAAACTGCAAGTTTGAAATTCCATTTCTCCGAATTAAAGCATTTTTCGATGTTGTGAGTGCCCTAACCGGTATTTGCAGGCCATGGCCACCAATTTGGCTATCTCAACTCAAAACTAATGTCAAGGTGGGATGGTTACTTTAATAGAGTAGGTAGGAATAACTACAAGATAGATGTATGTAGGTACCTAAATTGTAAACGTTCCTGTTTATTGAAGTGAATTTCAAAGTTTACTAACCGCGGTCTTGCCCAGTAGCGGCGGAACACCTTCAATTAAGGGGGGGGGGGCACTGCCGACTTTTGGTCACATTTTTTCCATGCAACGCCCATATAGGGCTAATGTTAAAATGCCAAAATCAAAGGGGGCACGGTGCCCCGGTGCCCTCCCCGTTCCGCCGCTTATTGCCGATGTCACCGTAAAACTATGATGAGTGATGAGGCTGCACTGGACTCGATTAGGTACCTATATTGCGAAAAGACCTTCCTGTAGGATTGCAAGCAAACATAAAGAATGCCGTCCTCTAAGCAACCAGCCTTCCGAGACCAGCAGCATTAGTTCGGGGTCAGTAGGTGTAACAATTTTCATTTAATATATTTATTTGTTCTTTTTTAATCCGCCCCCCCCCCTCCCGTTTTTCGCCAATAACTTCTAAAGGCGTTACGCCAGCGACGTCAAACTTTGAGTACCTTATCATACATCAATTTGACACGTTCCTTGAAAATTTGAGCGAAATCCGTCGGAAATTTTTGAGAAAATGACGTTTTAGTGACGTCATGTTCGCCATTTTTGCCTCAAAAACGGCAAAATTTCAAACGCCGCTAACATCTTCATTTTTAAAGGAATCAAGACGCAACAAAAAGGTTAGGTATACGTGATTTTACTTTGCCTATCAAATGGCTACCTCGGTTTTTGAAAATGTTGGATTTTGGCCCATTTTTTCTTAAAAAATGACGTTTTTTGGGAAAATAATCATTACATCCAAAATTTTGAGTGTATCGAAAAAACCGGAATATATGTCAGAGAAGTGGTCTATGTGCACCTACATGCCAATTTTTAGAAAAATCGTTTAAAAATGTGGGAGATATTCAAAATTTTATGACGTCACGACACACAAAAATTTTGAAAAATGAATTTTTTGGAAGTTCTAGACCTCGTATGGGAACAAAAATAGCACCATTCGATTTGCCGTGAAAAACTGCATCAGATAGACACCTTTTTAGGCCTTAACAACCAACTTCAAAATTTGACCTCACTTGACCTGACCTTGACCTGACCTCGACCTGAAATTCATCCAGAGGTGGTCCATATCACTTATTAAGTGTGCCTATTGAATTCTATGAGTAAAATGACCCATAAAACATGTGTCGCACATGCCCTTTTCTATATTTTGTTTTTGGTGACCTGAGCTGACCTGACCTGACCTTGACCTTGACCTTTGAATGATATTTTATGCAAAGAATATTGTTTTGGTAGCCTAAGAACACGTTTTGGGCAATCAGTCTCCGTCCATTCTTCGGCAATTACGGTGCAAGGCCGATACTGAAGAAACTTGCATTTTGTACCCTTGACCTGACCTTGACCTGACCTCTGACCTACTTAAGCAAAAAAATTGGGCTCCTAAGATCCGCCTTATTGAGAGCTTTTGATTGCCGTTTTTCCCGTCTTTCTACGACCATCGGTTCGGAAGTTAGACGGGGGAGGGGCAGAATCTGCCCCCCCCCCCCTGCAGGGCGCGTATGGCTGAATAGCCCAGCGGGGTGTTATTAATTATTACCTATTGGCTAGCTCTACAACCATAGTTGCCTTCCTATTGCTATCATAAATTTAGTACGAATGGTACTTCGTTCATAGTTGGCCGTTTTCCTGGTTTTCTCCTATTTCTTTCTTCTTTTTCTGCGTGTCTTTTTACCATCCGGGCATCGTTGCATACAAACTTGCATCAGGCAATGGTGGTTTTTCTTTTTTTGTGGGCTAGGCCATTTGAGTATACTACGATCATTTCAGAGCCACGGGATAAAAAGGATCAGGGGGAGGGGAAGGGGGCATTGGCCTGGACGACCACTAGCTGCCGCGGCGTAGCCCGTCCGAGAAATCCTCTTTCGCCAGTAGTAGTTGCTGTCGGCTGGCCTGAACAAACAACAAACCGTTCTTACGGTCTCCAACTGACTGCAAGTCGCCCGACTCGCCAAGTCGTTCTCGTTTCTATAGGCCGTTCCACACAGTGTAAAATTAATGTTAAACAAAATTCAAACGGCGTTCGATAGCCCTATCGAGCCCTACCGATAGCCCTATACCGATAGCCCTACTGGGGCTATCGAACCTTGTGACCCAATTGCATTGCTCTCGGCCCAACCGATGACGTCACGGGTCAGGTCAAAGGTCGCATTTTCACCGTTTACCTAAAGGGATTCCAAGAAATGCGTTGTAAAATCGAGTAAAATGCTAATGCATGTTATTGAAAATCATCGATGGAGCATGGATAGTCTAACACATATTTTGCTATTTTAGGTCACCAGTACCTACCCCGGTACTAGGTTAGTTCACAGAGGTCAGGTCAGAGAGGTCAGGTCATCGAGGGTCACAATATGATATGAAAGTGTCGTGTGTTACAAGTTTTATGGTCCATTTTACTTTAGTGCTTATACATGACAAATGCAAATGTGTGAGTTAGGCGACCTTTAGGGCCACTGTTTAGGTTGCATTACTCAGGAAGGTCAGAGTCAAGGTCAGGTAAAATAAGGTCAAATTTCAAATTTAAAATTTTTGCGTAAAATGGGTATTGATTCGATGCAGCTGGTCACTGGGAGTCTAATGGTGGTCTTTGATTTGCGCTACGTGGCTGCAAGAGTGCGGTCGGGTGGTGTTGTCCGTTTGTTGCAGCTGTTTTGTCTCAAAGCAGCGCAATTTATGGCGCGCTTTTGAAATTTCGTTTCAATTCTGGCGCAACCACTATTGTGTGATTTTTTTTTGTCTGTGTCCTTTTTTTGTTTGTTTCATTGATCTGGGGCATTCTTTTGCTTTTATATCAAAACACAACTCAAAGGTAGGTACTTCGTGTGTTTGTGGGGGCTGCCAATGCTAGTACCAGGGGCGGATCCAGGAATTTTCGGGAGGGGGGGCGGCAAGTCGAAATAGGGGCGACCTGGCAATCCGGGGGCGCTCCATACAAAGGGGGCGCCAAACCGTCAAAATCGGGAGCCAAAAGCCCGCGCCGTGCTATGGGGCGTTATCGTGCTCCACCTCAGGTTTTTCGCAAATATCTGAAAAACGGCTGCGCGCAGCGCTGCCATTTTCAGCATACCTTATCATGCATCTTTTTTTGCACATGTTGTAAAAATGTCTGACGCGGGTGATGGAAGGTCAGGTCACCAGGTTATGCCAAGTGACCTAGCCTAAGAAAAAGTTCAAATGCTTACCATTGCTATACCGACTGAACGATTGCTTTGAACCTTTCAGCGATTGATGAAAGCAACACTATTCATGAAATGTATATCTCGGAATTTCGATATCTGTGACCCAAGGTCAGGTCAGCTGTGCGACGTCTCCATTAGGTAGGGAGGTATAATTAAGTCTTTGGGAGAAAACTGAAAGGCATCTCTTTTGGACGAGCGCCATTCTAGACAATATCAAGCATTGGGATACATATAAAATTAACACACTGAATAAGAACATTGCACCTAGTGTGGCCACTCATTAGGTCCAAGAGGTCATGCCATGTCATGAAAGGTCCGCAGCAGTTTTTTTTTTAATAACTTTTGATAGATTCAAGCTAGAGCGATAAAAACACCTCAGCTGTGTTCAGCTCGACGATACGCATCGACTGCTATGCAGCATGACCTTTCCCGGTCAGGTCATGACCTTGACCTGAGGTCAAATTCTCAAAATTACCCTTCATAAGGTCACCCTTTAGTTTGTTCGACGTGTCTCGACGACAGAAACGCAATGCTGGCAAACGTAATGTCGAGACTCTCTTGAGTCAAAAGTTACTGCAGGAAAACATTGTTCGTAAAAAGGCTATTTTTAGAGTCTTTTGCCCTCTGAAGGCTAAACCGTTGACCTGAGGTCAAATCTGAGCGCAGCTCGCAGAAGCACCTTTAAAAGGGCTATCGAATGCGCTTTTCTGCGGCGCTATAGCTCTATTGGTTTCCGAGTTATGTGCCGCTGCTTCGAAAACGGAAAAATGTTGAAACAGGCAACATTTTACCTTTGATGACCTCTGGTGACCTGACATTCGACCTGACCTAAAAAATGACCGTTTTGTTTTCGTCTTGTTTTTTGACGATCTTTCGAATGCCGCTTATCGCGTGTCACTACGCGGCCCAGGAGCCGAGTTAGACGAGGGAGTGTGCCCCCCCCCTCCCCAGCAGGACACGGAAAACTCAGACCACCAGCACGGCACGGGTTAAAAGTCGTAGATGGGCACCGCTACCCTAGCAAAAGATATTAGGAAAAAGGTGACCTCCATTTACTGGTGCAGTCCTCCTTCTCCCGGTGATGCCCCCTCCTTTTTCTGGAAGCGTCTCACTTATGCTGGTATGCCTCACTTCCCGGGGGCGCCCAACCTCTGCTTGGATCGCCTAATCCATTATGGAGAGACCCACTTTGCTTAAGTCGCCTCATTTCTTCCTTCTAAGAACAACCAATTTGCTGTGGGCGGCCCACTTATCTGGGACGCCCATCTTCTGCTAGAAGTGCCCCTCTTCTTCCTGATGCGTCCCACTTCTACTACGAGTGCACCTTTTCTGTTAGGGCGCCCCTTTGCTGCTGAGGAGTCTTTTCTACTGTGAATAGGATGGCCCTCTCCTGTTTGGCGACCCCAAATTCTGCTGGAGGCGCCCCACTTCTGCCCAAATTTTGGTGGGGTGCCCCTCTCTTACAGGGGGCACTTCTCTTTTGCTGGAGACGCCACTCTTGTGGGGGCGCCCTTCCACTGCGGGGAACGTCTCTCTTCTGCCAGAGGCACCCCTTTTCTTCTTATGGGGCTCCTGTTTTTTTTTTCTGGGGCGAGGCGACCCTCTGCTGCTCGGAACGGGGCACACCTCTCCTTTTACTGGGGCACCGCCCCTCTGCTGGGGTTGTCCTTCCGCTGTCGTCAGTGGCGCCCCTCTTGGTAGAATATACTCCTTTTCTTTTTGTAATGGGGCGCCCCTCTTCTACCGGGGGCGCCCATCTGCTGCTGGGGCGTCTGACTTCTGCCGGATATTGTCAATGGGGCGCCCATATCCTGTTTGGCGGGCCCAATCTCTGCTGGAGGCTGCCTATTTTTGATTAACTTTTGCTGTGGCGCCTCTCTTCTGCTGGGGCGCCCCTCTTCTGCTTGGGGCGCCCGTCTCCTACTGGAGACCCCTCTCTTCTGCTGGGGCGCCCCTCTTCTGCCAGTGGCACCCATTTTCTTATTATGGGGGTCCTTTTTTGCTGGGGCGCCCAGCTGCTGTCAGGGCGCCCCTCTTCTCGGAATGGGGGCGCCTCTCTCCTTTTGCTGGGGCGTCGCTCCTCTTCAGGGGGACACGTCTCCTGCTAAGGGTGCCCTTCCGCTGCCAGGGGCGCCCCTCTTGAACAGAAGGTATTTTATATTCTTGTAACGAGACGCCCTCTTCTGCTGGGGGCGCCCATCTGCTGCTAGGGTGACTCTCATCTGCTGGGAATAGGCAATTGGGCGTCACTCTCCTGCTTGGTGAGCCCAACTTCTGCTGGAGGCGCCCTATTTCTGCTGAACCTTTGCTGTGTCGCCGCTCTTCTGCTCGGGGCGCCCTCTCTGCCGCGGGATATGGGCGCCTTTTTCGGATGGCGGGGGGGGGGGGGCGGCCGCCCCCGTCGCCCCCCCCTGGATCCGCGCCTGGCTAGTACACCTTTCCTTTTGGTACATTATTTTTACTGTTAGACTGGAGCTGGAGTTTCGCGTTTCCTGCACGTTTTGCCATAATCATAATGGCTGTTCATATTAATATTGTGGTTGCAAATAAAGTTTTGTTGGTCCGTGTGTGATAAATGATGTTTTTTAGGTAAAAAATTCAGTTGATGCCTTCACTGAAAGAATTTTCAGGTTTGCTGCTGCCTACTCAAATTTAGCCACTCGTAACCACAAATTGCTTCCTTAAATAAAATGTGTCATGGTATGAACTTTTTCAATATCATTTTTTTTTGCTGAGCTTGTCCTGTTTGGGCCTTACCAAATCTGGGGCCTGACTAACAAGTGGATAAAATCAGCTCGCTGGCCAGCTGGTGACATACGTGATAGCTATGGCCTTTATTGATATAACAGGGTAGTAGAATTAGATGGACATGAACACGTAAAATGGCACTCATAGAAAATTGATGGATGGATTTTTATTCGTTTAAATGAAAATCTAGCAATGATATTTAACAAGCACTGCTCACGCCACCATATGGCGCCAGCTGGCAAATAATTGTAATCCAGAAAATAGTACAGCCCACCTGCCACCAGTTTGAGTATCTACCTTCTCAACATAAATAGACAAAAATTAACCAGCACAACGTTTCTTATAGGTATCTTGAGTACAACTCTTGACGCACCCACCCAAGGTTACTATGTTATCCCAAGGTACTTATTTTTAAAATTATCATGTTGGGTCAAACTTAGGCTATGATGTGGTATGATAGGTAAGGTTAGAGTAAACTAGGTCAGGCCAGGAAAGGCTATGTCATATTAGATTAGTATATTCATTCCAGTTATTCTGGTTGATAATAGCCATACAAGGAAATCAGGTAAATGTTAAAAAGCCCAACTCATTTTCAAAGCGTGAATTTTGCATATTTTTACATTATTTGACATCTTGAATCCAAATATGATACTTAGGTACATTAACATGTGGCCCAAATACAAGGAAAAAACATAATCAAACCTGACCTAACCTTACATTTCTTTTGTTGCACTTATGTATCAAGGGTGTCACAGTTGTAGATTGAACCTTTTCTGAACAAATACCGGAAATCCTAGATGAAGATTTGGCTTAAAATCTGTGCATAATTCTTAATACTCTTTGAGCATCTGACTTGCCCCACGGTTGTGGCAAGTACCCAGTGGCCAGTGGTCTGTGGAGAGAAGTGAGAACAGTACTTTACTTATTAATTGTGCTTTGAGTAGCATGTTAAGTGGGTACCTCGTTTGCATTTTGCCCTTTGTTAAGCTATATAAAATGTGTCCATTTAATTGGTATGTGACAGTGAAGTGCAATTCATCATGTTGTGTACCTATTTCAGAGTAGTACCTATATAAAACATGCAGCTGCTGCTTTCTGATTTGCTGTGGCTAATCACAGTGACTTTTGCTGCTCTTGAGATGGAACCCAGCCAACAAAGCATTGAAGAAGGAAAACAACAGTATGAAATGCTAACACAGAAAGCTCAGATACCTAATTTTGGTAAGTTTCCTTTTTACTGCTGCATAAATGTTGAAATTCATCGTTAGATTCATTCTTAGAAAGAAAGCATCTAAAGCAGATCCTTTATTATCTGAAGCTACTTGATCATTTCAGTAATTTCAGTACATAGTTGTTTGTTATATATGCCCACTTAAATCTTTTATTTCTTAATTCTGGTGATAGGTTATCATATATGCCATTATTTACTCTGAAATAACTTATACAAAATACATATTCCAGCATTTTAAGAAAACTGGTCTGAGAGAATTACTGACACTGTACTTTTCTGTTTTCCAGTTGTCCTGTGCATTTCTGTTTTGTTAGTCCTCATTTATGCCATGTATGCTATGGATGGCATTTGGACCTCAATTTTCTTGCTTATGTTAAAATTTACTGATCTGTATCTGTAACTGTAACTGATCAGCGGCTGTGACCCTTCAGGCGAGTGCTGGACGGCGGCACTGGAGGAGCTGCGCCGGGACTGTCGACACTTGGATGACGTCACCCAGGCGCGGCTGGCGCTGCGGTTCGCCTCCTGCTTCCTGCAGACCTCGGGCCTGCAGCCAATCAGCTGCCAGGAGATGGATGACGTCAGACCGTGCCTGCGGCGGCTGACAGACCGACAGTTTGACAGCTACCGCGAGTTCTTCACCCACACACAGAACATGTGCTCGTTTCTGCAGGTACGAGACTTTCACTTCTGAAATGTAGATGTGTGTTTCTAGGTGTGCTACGAAATGAGCTTTCATGTCTATTTGATTATTCACGCCTCACGGTGTGTCGTTTGTCAACGAATCAAGCCCAGCATCTCACATTTTGTCTTTTAGTTATTATGCATGGGACAATGGTTCAATGTAACCTCCGGTGTAACCTATGCCATCTTTCTGCCTTAGGTATTAACTGGGGGTGTATCACCAATGAACTTTGTCCACTCATCCCTCCACAGGCGCAGATGTGACACCAGCAAACCTTGTCAATCCATCCCAACTCCAGGTCCAAGTATGGCACCATCAGATGATGAAAATGCATTCGGGGGCGCGTCTATTAGGTAAGCCAACGAAATTGCATAATCTATGTAACAGTTCCTTCCTGTAAATGTGTGACCCCATCCCTGTCGTTCTCCCCAAGTCCAATCTCTGACCCTCTCCTCACGAGATGTTTTCTGACTCTCCCCACCCTTCCAGGTCCAGGTGTGGAACCGTCAGACGGGTCGTCTCATCTCCCGGCTGGGCTCGGAGGCGGCCGCCGTGGCCGAGCGCCTGGAGCGCTCCGGTACCGTTCAGGAGGACATCCTTCGGGCTCAGGAGCGCGCACTGGGCAACCAGCAGCAGCTGATGGACCAGGGCCACAGGATGTCCAGGGACGTGGACACGTGGAGGGAGAACATGCAGCTCATGGTGCAGGACTTCAGGTGAGTGAGCGGCTTGATGGAAGGACATCAGACTTGCTGAGCTAGTCTCTGTTCTTTACTGATGTGGATGTGGCATTCTCACTTATAGCCATGTGATCTTCAGTTGTTGCGACAGCGCTTGCCTTGATCCGCCTTTCTGCAGTTATACTGTATCTGTCGGTAATGAGGTCAATGTACCACAGTGCGTGATATTCCCCAACCTCGGCCGCCTACTCTCCTCACCTATCGCAAAGTTACCGCGAGGTAGCAGCCTAATGCCGATCAGTTGTCGCCATTCATTAATGTTAGCAGTTTCTTGTGACCTCTGCTGCAATTATCTTTGTGTCGCTGCGGGAAATTTCTGTTAATCTGCAGCAGCCTGGTGGTGAACTCACCCTTTCGTTTATTTCATAAACTAAGCTCAGGTATCGATTCAATTGCCCTACTACCCGCTCACTGCTGACCATTATTTTGCGGCGTCCGCCGTTGACCTAGCCGTTCGTTCGTCTAGTTGCCCCAACTGCGACTTTTTACGGCGTCCTTTCCTGGAAACTACGGATAGCGCCCCGGTCACGTGTCATCTCGCTCCAGTTTGCTGTATCTAAGGACGCATTGATCGGTGCGCAGTGAAGCTCATTGCTCGGTGTTGCTCACGACATTCGATACCCAGCGGTCAGTGACGTCATTACCGGTGACGTCACGTAATGCAGGTCAACCGATCATATTCAGTGGCGAGCAGATTTATGTGAATTGTTTCGCTACATTTCAACGCACCCGCAGTGGTGATGGATAGGTGTGTTGAACGGTTTCCAATGATCAAGTGTGTGGTCTGCATGACGTCATCAGAGCGACGGGTCAAACACAGTGGAACGGAATGTTCCGCTGAAGCAAGTCCCAGTGGAAATATCTGGAAACTGCTCACCAACCTTTCATAGCAACGTAAAACCCATTGGTAGGCAAAGCTTCTTTGACAGCGGCTAAATTATTCAGCAGTTGATTGTTGATCAAAATTGCCTTTAAGGCCAGAATATGTCCAAGAACCTAAGATGCTCAGATTTTTATTTACCAAAACCCAGATGCGTGCGTGAAGTTTTCGGCGTGTTACCAGTTCCACTTGGCAATTAGTCATCGGATTATCATGCGTCTATGAGCTCCTCGTCACAAAAGTGAGGGAAGCTCTGCTCTGCGCTGACTCACGCTCCTCTCACGCCCCCAGGGAGCAGACGGCCGAGCACCGCGACCTGATCCTGACGGTGTTTGACCGCCTGACGTCTCTACAACAGCTGGTGCTGGACCGCTTCAGCTGGTTCAACTCGCTGGCGCACTATGTGGCGGGTGTGCTGCTCGTCTACCTGCTGACGTCCACAGCGAGAACCGCCGGCGCCAGGTCAGGAGAGGGTTGGATAATTGTTTTATTTTCACCTTGCTAACTGTATGTTGTCTGATGTTGTCTACTAAATTTATTAGCAGCTGTTGGTCCCTTACAAAATAAGAAAGGTACAGTCCACAGCAGAAGTAATGTGGGGTTTCAGTCATGGGTATGTTCTGGTTCTGAAGCTTAGGAACGATTAGCCAGACTACAGTGAAACTTTGAATGTAGCTTATATGTATCGTCACCCTTGCAGCTGCAACTTTAGCTATTGACATCTTCTTTTCGATCACTCCGCATTAAACAATCGCCAGTCAAAGCCAACCGTTGAGATTGGTAAAACCCTACATTACTTTAGCGGTGGGCTGTACCGACTCTTCAACCTCTGGAAACCAAAAGTACGTCTTGCGCACTCAAAAGTACGTCTTGCGCACTTCGCTAGGCGCTGCGTTTGTTTCTTCTCACGATTGTAGACTTGTGCTTCCCAAGCTGACTGCTTCTCATGCCTGTACCATTCCCAGACTGTGGCTGTTTCTGGTGCTGACGACCAACCTGGCTCTGGAGCGGCTACTGGCGGCTTACTTCATATCGGCCGAGTCGCCCCTGGAGGCCAGAACAGCTCAGCAGACGGGGGTGAGACTCTGTGGGATAGGAGCGATGGCCCTGGTGGGACAGTTTGTCCCATTGTCCCTCTGTATACCGTGGATGAGACTGGTAGGTTGGGATGTGGGACGGTTTATCCCACTGACCCTGCAGATAGCGCTGAGACTCGGTCGGGGCTACAGGGACAGACTCGGCTCCCTCCTTACTGACTAGGGTGCGTCTCGGTGACCGGGCCCGGGACAGTTGGTAGGTGGCGCTCTGGACACCAGCGACGGTGGCAGGCAGGGCTGTCTGCTCAGGTTTCTACATATGTGTGAGGCTGGGGGTTACTTCTGTTTTCTACTGTCGTTTGCGAATTATGACAGCTGCTTTGATTATGAAGTAGGTATATTGCGGATAACTTGAAACTGCGAAGTATCCACCCTCATTTGCTTCATTATCAGCTTAGTTTAGCCTAACCTGATAACCCGGTCCGGTGGTACCCTGTAGAGACCGCTCGTGCTCAGAGGTCAACCTGTATTGGTCGCTCGCCAGTCAGTCACTGCCACAGACCAGTCCACACGACACGCTCGTCCACTTTGAGCCTCAGGCAATATGCGGGTCAGCCTACCCTCCCGGCTCCCGCATGCGCAGACGCAGCCGTATGGTGGGGCCCGTATCATAAACGCAGCTACGGTAATATGTACGGTCAGGGCCTACGGAGCTCGGTGAAACGTAACAGTTAACACCAATCCACCGTACAATACACTCTCCTCCCTTTAACAAATAAGTTTAGATAACGAAAACACACGTTACGCCTGGAAAAACTCAGTTTGTTTCCGCACGCGAGATGATCTTCGCGGAGCCATCTCCGTAGCCGATGCAGGCACAGACTTCGGAAGAGCTGGCTCAGCTGGCAGAGGCATCGCGGGCAGATCCTTCGTGCCGGGCACCGTCGAGGACCCTCCCGTCGGCTGCGTCGCCGCAGCCGTCAGCGAGCCACCGGTGTCAGGGAACGGTGCCGGGTGCGACCCCGTCTCCGGTACGGTGGGCAGACCAGTGCAGACGGCCTCGGCAGCCGGTGCGGCCGTCAGCTGCTCCGACGGGCTGAGCTGCTCGTGAGCAGCTACATCAGCAGCAGGTCCTGTGACGGGATAGTTTGCGTCAGTTTTCCGCATCAACTGATCCTGATGACGACGCCAGATCCTACCATCCTCTAATTTGACCACATATGACTGCGATCCATCTATACCCACAACTACACCTGATATTCACGTGGGTCCCACACCATAATTGCGAGCATATATCGCATCCCCGATGTTCAGCTGTAACACTCGGGGTACAGCAGGGTCATGATTCAGCTTCTGCTGCAGCTGCTTCCGCTGAACACGGCTCTGCAGGTCAGGATGAAGAAGGTCTAGCCGGCTCCGGATCACTCGTCCCAGCATCAGCTCTGAGGGTGACACAGACGTAGTTGAGTGAGGGATTTTCCTCTGATACAGCAACCACTCAGCCAACACAGTCTCCCAGTTCCCATCTCCACTGCGCTTAAGAGCCTGCTTAACGTCACGAACTGCCCGCTCTGCTAGCCCGTTGCCTTGACTGTGACGTGGCTCTATCGTTCTATGTTGAACCCCATTAGCCGCCAGGAACTGCTGAAAATCCTGTGAGGTAAACGTCGTAGCATTATCAGAGCAGAGCATGTCAGGCAAGCCCCATCTTGCAAACATACGTCGCAATTTGACCATGGCTGCTTGCGAACTCACACTTGAGCACGGCTCAGCCTCAACCCACTTTGAAAAGGCGTCCACTACCACAAAAATGTACTTGCCTTTGATTGGTTCCGCAAAATCCACATGAACCCTTGACCATGGGCGTCTCGGCCAGGGCCACATACTCAGGTCAGCCCGATGAGGGGTCGGACGACTCTCCTGACACGCAGAGCATCGTCTGACCGCCATTTCCAGGTCACCGTCAATCTGGGGCCACCAGACGCAGCTCCTTGCCAGTGATTTCATCCGGCCGATCCCTGGATGGGCAGAATGCAGCTCTGAAATCACAGACTGGCGGCCCTTCTGTGGTATCACGACCCTGTGCCCCCACAGCAGCACGCCTGCACACACAGACAGCTCCCAGCGTTTCTCTGAAAACGGTTTCAATGCCGGGTCAGCTATCTCGGGCCACCCGCCCTTCTGCACCAGGTTCATTACTCTGGAAAGAACGGGGTCACGAGCTGTCAAACGTGCTACTTGCTTAGCATCAAATACAGCATCCTCAATCAGCAGCACCAGATCTTCCTGGCCAGAGCCATCTGCAACTGGCAGGGGAAGCCTGCTGAGGGCGTCCGCGTTACCCATGTCTTCCGTGCGCCTAAACTGGATGGCATACTGGTACGCAGACAACTTCAATGCCCACCTACGAATGCGAGCAGACGCCATAGCCGGAATGTCTTTGTTTTCTCCAAACAAAACTACCAGCGGCTTGTGATCCGTGACCAGTATGAACTTATTACCCAGCAAGTATTGATTGAACTTTTCTACCGCGAAAACGATCGCGAGAGCTTCCCTCTCCAACTGAGAATACTTCTGCTCTGAAGAGGTCAGACTTCTTGACACGTACCCGACAGGACGCTCAGCTCCATCCACTTCACGCTGAGCCAGTACCGCTCCAATGCCTCGAGACGATGCGTCACAGACCAGCACTTGCTCCTTCGCCGCATCGAAGTGAGCTAGAACAGAGTCCGAGGTAAGGACACTTTGGGCCCAGTGGAAGCTTTTCCGCTGTTCTGGTCCCCATATCCAGTCCTTGTCCTTCTTGAGAAGGTCGTACAGCGCAGCCAGCCTCTGAGCGCGCGCTGGTAAGTACCTGGAGTAGTAAGTCAACAACCCAAGAAAGCTTTTCAGCTCAGACACGTTCCTAGGTTCAGGCACTGACCTGATCGCTTCAGTTTTCTCAGAAGTCGGGGAAATTCCATGCCTGTTGACCACGTGACCCAGGTACTCAACCTGCTGAACCAAAAACTTACACTTATCTGCTCTGGCTTTTAGACCCGCGTCTTCAAGCCTAGAAAACACCTTCTCCAGCGTGGTCAGGTGTTCGGCCTGTGTCTTTCCACTCACCAGAACGTCATCCAGGAAAACAATGACGTTGGGTATGCCCTGGAGAACCTTTTCAATCTCTCTCTGAAATATACCCACAGAACTGTTGATGCCGAACGGGAGCCTCGAAAATCTGAGAAGACCTCGTGAGGTGTTGATGGTCATGATGTCTCGAGAGTCCTCGTGAAGAACTAACTGATTGTAGGCCGAAGCCAGATCAATTTTCGAGAATACGGTACCTCCCGCTAGCGTTGCAAACAGATCCGGGACCTGTGGCAATGGATATCTGTCCAACCTCACCGCTCGGTTGGCCGTCAACTTAAAGTTGCCGCAGACTCGGACATTCCCGTCCTTCTTCAGCACCGGCACAATGGGCGCCGCCCAGCTGCTGTTCTGCACTTCCTCCAGGACGCCGCTGTCGATGTCCTTCTGGAGCTGGGCCTCCACCTTCTCCTTGAACACATAGGGCAGAGAGCGGGCCTTGCAGAACCTCGGTGGTACAGTACGGTCAATGTCCAGACGTACCTTTACCCCCTTCAGCTCTCCCAGGCCAGGCTCAAAGAGGCGCCGATACTTCTCCTTCAGGCCCTGCAAGGAACTGGTTCGAATGGCGTGCACTGCCCGCCAGTTGAGGTTGATGTGCTCCAGCCAGTCTCGTCCTAGAAGGTTAGTCCTGGCATCTTTTACCACCACAACTGTCAGGGCACGGTGCTGTTTGCCTTCATACCACACGTCTGTTTGAAACTCTCCCAACAATGGTATGAACTGACCCGTATACGTTTTCAAACGAGATGAGCACATTTTGAGTTTAGGTTTTCTGTTCAACTGTTCAAACGTATCCTGCCCAATCAACGATACGCTAGAACCAGTGTCAATCTCCATATCTACATCTGTACCTTGAAACTGAACCAGACAAGAAATGGGAGGTACACTCACCCGATGGACCGCTTCCGTTCTGCAGATCTCTTCATCCTGTTCCGCACGGCCAACATCTGTCGTGTAGTCCGCCTCCCATTCTTCATCTGCTTCAACGGCGTTTGCTCTGCCCTGCTGCCTCCGAGGTCTGACTGTCGTCTTTCTGACTGTGCACATTTTAGCCAAATGTCCAGCTTTCGAACAGTTGTGACACTTGTACGACGCAAAACGACACACATCAGGTGAGTGGGTCCTCCCGCCACAACGCCAACAGCGAGCCCCTGGACGAGTTGACTGACCTGACGGCAAGCCTTGCGCCCTTACCTCACATACCTCTGCCGGCACTGTACCCGGTGTGCCGGAGATCAGGTGAGCGTCTCTGCTGGAAGCCTCTATCGCCAGGCAGATCCTCTGTGCTGAGCTGAAGTCCAGGCTGGATTCTGACAGCAACCGCCGCTGCATCCGAGGATCCCTGATGCCGCAAACAAACTGCTCAGTGAGTCTGTCATCAAGCGTGGCTCCAAAACAGCAGTGCTCGGTAGCCTTCCTTAGCACAGAAACAAAATCAGCAACGGATTGGCCTGCCGTTCGTTGACACGAGTTGAACTTGAATCGCGACACAATGACAGATGGTTTGGGTTCTTTGTGCTCCCTTATTACTTGCAAAAGCTCATCAAACGACTTCTCAGACGTCTTAGACGGTGCTATCAAGCTACAAATAAGCGAAAAGGCCTCTTTCCCACATACCGTCAACAGCGTGGCGCGTTTCCTGCTCTCGCCTTGAATGCCGTTACATTCGATGAAGTAGTGCAGACGCTCCTCCCACTGGCTCCAGGAGTCCGTCGCCGGGTTGAAGGGCTCCAGCTGCAGGGTGGCCGACGCTGCCCCATCCATGGCCGTAGAAGTCGCCCCGCCGCGCCGGTTCAAATCCTCGTCGCCAGTGTAGAGACCGCTCGTGCTCAGAGGTCAACCTGTATTGGTCGCTCGCCAGTCAGTCACTGCCACAGACCAGTCCACACGACACGCTCGTCCACATTGAGCCTCAGGCAATATGCGGGTCAGCCTACCCTCCCGGCTCCCGCATGCGCAGACGCAGCCGTATGGTGGGGCCCGTATCATAAACGCAGCTACGGTAATATGTACGGTCAGGGCCTACGGAGCTCGGTGAAACGTAACAGTTAACACCAATCCACCGTACAATACATACCCACATGCCGCGCCCTTCGCCCTGACATGCCCACCGTTGTCGTCGTTTTCAGGCGCTGCTGGACAGCTCGGTGTGGCTGCTGCGCCGGGCGGCAGTCTCCGTCTGTCTGCTCATCCTGGCCGGCACCGTGTACCGCTACCGCGACCTCAACGCGGCCAACAACCAGCTGCTGCTGGAGCTGCACCGGCAGCACCGCGAGCTGCGCGCCTACCTCGCCGCTAAGGGTGAGTGGGACGTGCCTGTGGCCGTGAGAACAGTGACCTGTCCCTGTGAGAGCCGTGGAGAGAGTTGGAACCGTTCGTGTGAGAACTGTGGTTGTTCATGTGAAAACTATGCCACTGTCCAGTTGTGGCTGCCTGTGGCTATCCCCGCGAGAACCTTGGATGTGCATATGAAATTATTAGGAACCATAGCTGCCCCTTTGAGAACTGTGGATGTCCTTGTAGTAATGAGTAATGATGTGAGCTGATGTCAGAATCACGGCTCTCCCTGTGATAATTTTGACTTTGTGAACTGCCCATGTGGGAACTGCAGCCGTTCCCCTTCAGAACAAGGACTGTCCTCTGTCAGAGCGTCCCTATTCCCGTGAGAACCGTGACTGGTTGTTGTCCATAATTTTATCGAGCTTAGTTACGATATGTTTCCGCAGCTTTTCTGTGCTTTCAAATGATGAACGTGCTAATTCGCTTATTAATGTACGAGCCTATACCATAAACCAGTTATACTGTGATTGTCACTTTTGCATGATGTCATGAAAGTGCTTTGCGGAAAATGGGACAGAATGGCACCGGCTGGCAGCCTCAGCAGCTCACAGCTTTGACGGATGCATTAAATACCAGCCCGCTTTTGTCCAGCTGCGTACTAAATCGCTCCATCCCATGGCTGAATGAATGACAACGCTAACGCCAGCCAAAAATAACGCCTGTCCGTCCGTCCGCCTGTCTGTCTGTCCGCCGCCCTCGAGCAGGGATGCCGGTCAGCGACGTTACAGATGGCGCCACCACCACCTCACCGGGTGTCTTCACCGGCCTGCGGAGTGGCGCCACCCCGTGGCCAAGGCGGTCACTAACGGGCCTCCCTGACCTGACCCCGAGACTGGCTGGGTCAGGCTCGGAGAGGACCGCTGACCTGAAGAGGTCGGGGTCGCGGCACGCGGTGTCCGCCGCCGGAGACGTCACGGATGGAGGAGGTTCGGCGGGGCCGGTGTTACGCGGTAAGGATCGGCCCGCTGGCGGGGGGGGGGGGTGTCATGGGGGGAGGGGGTGCTCCTTGTCCTGTGTGCTGCCGCTGGGAGCTACAGGTCATTGCTAATTGTTACTGGGTGCTTAATGCTTATGCGTGCTTCTGGATCTATTTCACGGTTGGCTTCGCCGATGCCATGAAGTGAAAGTGGCTTCGCAATCGCTGAATGCAATTGCGCATGGCTTGCAACTCTGCCATGCTCTGGTGATACTGTCAATATATGACACCTTTACCACGCTGACTGTATCGTCTTTGGTTCCTGTCTATCCTTGCCATGCTAATAACCGCCTGTGTCGTTCCCGCAGAGCTCTCCCCGCCTGCCGAGGAGGGCGGCTCGGACTCCGTCTCTCTGTCCAGTGACGCGTCCCTCTGCCGGGCCGTGTCGGTGCCGGCCGCCGAGGACCCGCCCCGCAGGCGGCGGCCCAGTCTGGTGGATGTACTGAGCGGGTCTCTGGAGCTGGGCGCGGCACTGAGGTCGGCATCGCGGGGTGATAGTTCGCTGGAGCTGGGAGCGGCCCTGAGGTCGGCCGCCTCCTCCTCACGGGGGAGCAGCTCACCATCAGAGACACCTCAGGTGGGCCACCGTTCACGGGTCGGTATGGTTGGGAGACGGGGAGTTTGTAGTTTGTACAAAGCTTTCTCTTTGCGGTCCTTTGCAACTTAAGTTTATGACGATTTTAAGTAATGTGCTGTTTATATTTTTGTTCTGCCACTACCTATAGCCTTATGTTGAACTTGAAGTTTCACTGTACAGTACACATCAGTTACAAGCCCAGAAAAACGCAAGTGTTCAAACCTCGGTCACCACCGTCAACACTGCTGAACTACATGTTCAAGCTTCAAATATATCAGTTGCTGGATCAGTGTCCTCAAGTCCGCAGCACTACCCTCAGCCCTGCCGCTGAGGTCCCTTCGTCCACAAGTACAACCGTCTGCCCTGTCGTTGTATTCCCCCTCTCGCCCCCCCCCGCCTACAACCCTGTCACTGACCCCCTCCCTCATCCACAGCCGTCTACCCCTTGTCATTGACACCCCCTCTCGTCCACAGCCGTCTCCGGGCCGGTACAACCTCCGCACGCGGCCGAGCCCGGTGGGCGGAGGGTCGCCGGCGCCGCTGCGGTCCCCTGCCAGCCTGTCTCGGGCCGCACAGCGTCTGAGCACGCTGACAGAACAGCAGGAGGTGCTGGTCCGCCGGGCGCTGAGACGGTGAGGGATGCTCCGACAGGGGTGAAGAGAGTGGAGGGGAGGGAGAGAATCTGAAGGGTTAGAGATGAGGGGTACGTGATGCGGTTAGTTGGGCTGTGTACAGTCTGCTATGATTCTGTGAGTGGAGGTAAGATGCGTGCAAATTGACAACAATGCCTTCTGCTTGTATGTTTGTGGAAGGACAAGTCTCAAATGCCAATGGTTTCTTAGACAATGTGCCTTTTGGAAAGGCCGTTTTGTGCTATGGCACGATCAACCAGTCTTCCAAAGTATGCGATCTCAGGGTTATGATATAATTTACGCACGTCTGTGAAGTCAGATGTTTTGATAAGGGACCATTTTGCGTGGCCGAGGTGTGCTTTGTGTATTCTTATCGTAGTTCCAGCAAACATGTGAACAAACATAACATTGACGTGTCGATTGTATTTACCATACAGTGCACAGCATGCAACGTCCTCTTTTTATATATTTATTTACATGATTGTCTCAACCGCTTACAAGCGTACGATTCACAATAATGCTTGATAATGTTTATCCATGTGTCTTGATAGTAATTGTACTTTGACGGGCATTTTGACCATGAGCTGTTTTGCCATTAATGTTAACAGCTTGTGAGATTGAAGCTTCCTACCTAAATGTATCCAGTGACCAGTCGCTAATTAGCATCTCGGTGCTGTTGCATTAATAGGCTGGAACGACTAGGCCAGGCATAATATGAACTGCAACTCTGTCACGAAATTGAATGACTTGAACATAATACACGCATATTGTTGTAAAGCGGGTTTAGAAAAGCATATTCAATATGAGCGATGTTTAGGAGACTAGCGAATATTTTCGCACTAAGTGCCGAATGTCATTCTAAAATGTCTCTGCCTAAAGGCCGCCCCACACTGGACCTCGCATGCGGGCTGCGAGTTTGCGGGTTTTGAGTTTGCGGGCATAATACTAATTCATAGAGTGATTAGACCGTTCCTTTATGGTAACTTCATGAATGCAGTGAAGCCGGTACACCTTCAGAAAATTACATATAGTCGCAATACCAGCGCAAAGAACCAAAATTCGACTCCAACGAAAAACCCGCAAAACTCGCAGACCTCGCAGCGAGTAAAGTCGAAAGTTGACTCAAAATAAACTTTTGGAATGCGATGCAAGGTGGCTCGTAAGCTAAAAACATGCAGAGTCGCCTGTTAGATGGTAGTGTGTTTCACTCAGCTTAGATTGTATGATTTGAACTTGAATAAACCCGAAAACCCAAAAACTCGCAACCCGCATGCGAGTTCCAGTGTGGGGCGGCCTTTAAACTGCTGGGTTATCAGCTTTCCAACCAGCATCTCGAGGGCTGCCCGTGGTTGGGCGAGGATGCATCCAAGGACTAGTGATAAATGTACATTAACCCGCGCCCCGTTGGGCTCTGCCGAGCAACGCGCCCGGTTGGGGGGGGGGGCCATTTTGGCCCCCCCCTAAGATCTCGAGAACCACGCAACATAGCGACAAGCGGTAAACGGCGTTGGATAGCCCCAACGGGGAACTACCTTGTGACCCAATTTTATTGACCTAGGTCAAACCGATGACGTCACAGGTCAGGTCAAAGGTCCAATTTTCACCGTTTACAGGCACTTCAAGAAATGCGTTGTAAAATCGAGTAAAATGCATTTCATTGAAAATCATCGATGGGGAAATGTTCTTCAAACACATATTTTGCTATTTGAGGTCACTGATACCAGGTCAGGTCACAGAGGTCAGGTCACGGGGGGGTCACAATATGAAAGTGTCGTGTGATACATGTTTTATGGTCCATTTTACATGACAAATGCGATTATATGGGTCAGGCAGCCTTTGGGGCCAGCTTAGATCACGTTTTGGTCAAGGTCAGGTCAAGGTCAGGTCAAGGTCAGGTCAAATTAGGTCAAATTTCAAAGTTAATATTTTTGCATAAAATGGGTATCGAATCGATGCAGCTCGTCACGGGGAGTTCAATGGTGGTCTTTGTTTTGCCGTACGTGGTCTAGAATTGCTAAAAATTGAGTTCAAAAATTTGACGTCATCATTTTTGAACAGTTTTTTCGCTATAACTTGGCCAAAAAACGAGATATCGATCTGAAATTTGGTATGTATATAGAAGAGCGCTGGAACTATCACATATATTCCGGTTTTTTCGAAATTCGGAAAACTTTTGGATTTTTTCAAAGTTTTTCTAAAAAAATCAATTTTTTGATTTTTTTTTGGTCAAAAACCAAAAATTTTGAAAATCCGAGATAGCAGTTTTGTAGCGCCGCTTTTTGTCTACTAGACCATATAAAGAACTTTGAAATTGCTTGATAACTGTAGATTTGGTGAGCGTTTCAGGATTGCATGTTTTTTGCTCATTTTTGCTCGAACATGACCTCAGTTTGACCTCAATAACTCCTGACCTAAGGTGACCTAAGACTTGAAATTTGGTGTGAAGGTGTCAAATTGATGCCCGGGAAGGTAATGAAAATTTGGCGGCGCTGCGCGCCGCCGTTTTTTTGCTATTCAGGAAAAACCACAGGGGGGGGGGGGCCAAAATGGCCCCCCCCCAACGGGGCGAGGGTTAAGTGAATTGTACTACGTCACGTCAAGCGTCTTTAGTGACCTTCACGGCACTTCATAGTCAGGGAAAGGACGACACTGATCACTGACATTATCAGTGTCGTAGATAATTTTAAGATGGGTTCCGTTGGCCCCTCCGTGGCCGAGTGGATTAAAGCGCCGGAATCCGACGCTTAGCCGGTAGTGAGAGCCCGGTTCAAGCCCCGGTGCGGGCGGCCACATTTAGCTCCTACGTGTAATGGCGTGCGTGTCTGTGGCAGGGGCCGCACAGAAGCCAGGTAACGTGAGTGAGCGGAGGGGGCCGTGTCCAGTCGTGAGGACACGTTAAACGTTCGGACAAAATTCTGCCATACAACTGGAATTGCGCGATCGGGTGGTGGGGTCAGGGTCAGCACAACAAGCTATGCTTAGTGCGGGCTCTGATTCCTCAATCCACCCATTCAACCATTCGGACTAAATTTATAGAAAAAAAAAATAGAGGCAGTGACGTCTTAAGTGCAAGGTGACGCAGCATGGTGTGTCTGTTGCAATAGCCGACGGTGGCGGATGCGCCTCGGTGACCGGCACATCGACCAATATCACATCTCCAGCCCTTTGCAGGACCAGAGCTATCACCCCTGCATACCACCCACAAACCTCATACACCACACGTGAGCTCGGTACGCGTGCGCCGCGCCGGGCAGACGGATCTGCCTGCCGGCCACCACCGTCTCTGCCAGAAAACAGACGGCCGAGGCGAGCGATCCGGCCACCAGGACCAGGAAGGCGGCGGCCAGGTCGGCCAGTCGCAGCGCCCGCTGCGGGGGCGGCGGACGCGGCGGCGGCGGCTGGCCGCCCTCGTTGTGCAGCCAGAACTCGACCAGGCCCGACTGCAGTAGGCGCTTGACGATGGTGTTCAGCGGGCCCTTGTAGCAGGCGCCGTGCGGCACCGGCCACGCCAGGCCTGTGGCGTAGAAGCGTGCGCGTGACACGTAAAGCAGGTGTCGGTCGGGCCGGTGGCTGGCAGCGCGCCGCACTAGGGCCAGTTCCTCCACATAGGCCGTGTCCGGGTGCAGCTCGACGTCATTCAGCGACTGTGTGGCCGGGAGGAAGGAAAGCCGCTGCACCAGGCCGGCCAGCGCCGAGTCCGTACCGCTGAAACTCTCCAGGTACTCGGTGACGGCCACCTGGGGGTACGCCTTGATGTCCAGCTGCGAGCGCGCCAGCTGGTCCAGGCTGTCGATGGCCGGCGGGTAGCGGGACACGGAGAGCAGTGAGATGAGCCGGCTGCGGTAGCTGATGGCGATGGTGAGCCCGAACAGCCACCAGGCCACGGCCAGCAGACGGCCGGCGGCGCCGCGCACCGGCAGCTGGCCGGCCTGGTGCAGCAGCGCACCAAACAGCACCAGCGCGTGGGCGCGCGAGCCGCCGGCGCCCGTGTCGACCAGCACGCCGGGCAGCTGGACGGCCAGCAGGGCGCAGCCCAGCGCCAGTGCCAGCAGCAGCCAAGTGGGAGGGTCGAACGGAGCCGCCACGGCCAGCCAGCGCGGCACCGGCGCCGGCCGCAGCATCATGAACGAGTTGGGCTCCACCTGGTGCGGGTACGTGAAGTCGACGGCCGTCAGCCGCTCCAGCGTCACCGATATGTCGCCGATGGCGATGTCGGCCTCGCCGCGGGCCACCATACCCACCACGCCTGTCCACGAGCCGTTCTCCAGCCGCGAGCCGTAGACACCCTCGTCACTAAGCGGCGGTGTGTGCGTGTAGGTGAAGCCCAGGTGGCGGGCCGCCGCGTCTATCATGTTCTTCTCGACACCAGCGAAGTGGGAGCGGTCTTTCGGGTCGGGATAGTAGGCGTAGTAGGTGTCTCCGGCTGCCGTGGAACTAATGCGCAGATGTTCTCCGCCCAAGTGCGGCACGTTCGTCTGGAAGAAGGTGGCATTCCCCTGGCCGTCCCGCTGCGAGCGGCGCACGCGGTGTCTGCTCCACGCGGCGTCCCACAGCAGCTCTGGCCGCACCCTGCGCTGGAAACACTCCAGCTCGAAGCCGTACACTCGCTGAATGGAGCCGCTCTGTCCGACGGTGTCATTGCCGCTCTCGGTAGCGTTGTAGCCATAGTATTCCTCCATCATAATGGATAGCGTCATGAGAGTCTGCTCGTGTCGGACCAGTCGTGCCGCCAGCGACCGCTCCACCGGCTGCAGGGGCTCCACGACCAGCAGCCGCGTGCACAGGTCACTCCAGGCATCCAGGAGCCGCACGGAGCGGCGAGTGTCGGCGCCGCGCCACCCAGACCCGTGCACCAGGTACAGACACACCTTGCTGGAGGTCTGGTGGAAGGTGGTGACGGCACCCGGAGGCAGCTCTAGCTGGTTGATCTCCAGGGTGCGGGTGAACTGGTGGAGACGCTGCCACAGGAAAGACGGCTCTTGGGTGAGGTGGTGGACCACCAGCACGTCCTGGAGGGAAGTCAGGTGCTGCAGCAGCGAGATGAAGCTGCTGTCGCCGTCCTCCGGCCAGCCGCCCAGACTGTCGTCGGTGATGGTCGGCCGCACTCCCTCCGCCACCTTATGACTGAGCCGTACCTTCTCAAAACGGTCCGGCAACGCTGAGGTCAGCTCCGGCTGCTTACCACCAAAGATAGTCTCATTGTAGAATCTGCGTTCGGTTGGCTCACTGCCGTCCCGTTCATGTCTGCTCAACACGGGACCTCCTAAAACATCAATCACCGTTACCTCGTCAGTCACTTCAGCCACTGCCAGCGCGCCCAGCACCGCTACCAGGACACACACGAGCACCGAAGCCATGCCGTCCCTACCAGCCACCACGCGCCTTTACCGCCTACTGAGGCCGCGGGACGGGCCCTACATGTTTTTACTACATGGGTTTACTGCTGCCAAGCTCAATGTCGTTACTCGACCGGAGCGTGGCCGGCATTCTCTATCCCCGCGGACATGGTTCAGGAGGGCAAACAGCTCAGTTTGGAGCCGGGGCAACCGCCGATCCAATGAATAATCGATACACAAACGTCCTTGGATAACAGTGCATCAAACCAGAGAACAAGAGGCGCCATGGAACCAACTTGTTCTCCTGACAAAACAATGCCAAGTAACACCCCTTTGAGAATGTTTCGCCAACATCGCTCGCATAAGCTGATACCTGCTTGTTGGAAAGTCCGGCGGTCAATTGAAGTAGGCGGAGACGCGTATTGGATTACCGTTCATATTGGAGAAATTCTCTCAGTCACCGACAAAGTTTGATCGGAATCTCAAACCCAGCTGTTTTGGGTCGTTAAAAAGGGGCCACGACCATCATTTGATGTCGTCAGGGAATGCATGAACCCGCTCAAATCCGATATATTCCCAATTCATTTGCCTGGATGTTCCATGATAACCTACCTCTCGTACATTGAGTTACCAATGAAAGCACGGTCGATGGAAGCACATTATAGCCCGCCTCGGGATAGATTGTACGTCATTGAATCGTTACAACGGAACCGCGCACCAGCCTCTGTTCTCTGCTGAAATATTCCTTCACAATAATTAGATACATTTCGTTCAAATATCGGATTTATTTCAGTCATGATGTCACATATTCTTACCTCGTCTCGCTCGTACTATATACAGACATACGCGCACAAGCCGGGAGGTCGCAGCTGCGCCATCAAACCATCAACAGAACATAATGACGATGACAATGCGTGCAACAGAATCGCGTATGAGTGCAGCTTTCGTAACACAACCGTTGGGAGACCGCGTGACGCCGACTAGAGAAGATTGAACGGCTGGCACCCGCCTGCCCGCTCGCTGTATCACATGTACGTCGGGGGAGCAGGGGGCCGGCGGGCCGAGCGCGCCGCCGCCGCCGATGGGCGGGGGAGGGGAGGGGGCAGGAGGGGGCGCCGGGCGCAGGACGTGTCGGCGGCAGCAGGGCAGAGATGTCGGGAAGAAGGGGAGATCAGCGCCGGAACAGGTCGCGCATGGACGGTACCCACAGGAGCAGCGGTGACAGGAAGACGGAGTCTGGGGAGCGCGGACGGCTCCGGCAGGGGTGCGCCGCGCCGCGGGAAGCCACAATTTCTACGACACGTCCCAGCCGGGTGTTGGAACTAGGATGAATTCGTAGAGCACCCTGTAGGCCGAAGTGGTTTGTAATCGATTTGTGATATCAGCGGTAAACTAGTACCTACTCAACAAAGCAAGTGGAATGGGGTAGGATGGGAGGCAAAGTCCACTACTTTGGACGACCTTTTTAGAGATCGAAACGCTTCTGTATCAGCATCTTTCTGGCGGATAATGAGATAACCACCAAACGATGGCTAGAGACGGTTCAATAATAAAATCGAGATATCATATGCAAATCAGCTCCTGGCTTGCCAAATTGATTGAGATTGGGCATCATAAAGACAATCAAAACAGGCCATTACGACGAAATCACTTATTGCTAAAATCATGATCAACTTCAGCTCAGACTTAATGACTCAAAATGCAAGTGACAACAGAAAGACACGACGTATGCGGTATGGCTATACCACCCTCTAGAAAATCACATGCAAATCCCACACTTTTGGGGAGAGGGGTACCTAAATCACAAGCACCATCCGCTGACCTTACGAATGCCGTCAGCGTCTGCAAGTTTGAGACTGACTGTCCAAACGAACAGCAGCACCTGCCATCTTGGTGCTCGCGGATGGGGGAGAGGGACCGGGACGGGCCGGGGCGAAGGGAGCGGGCGGGATCGGGCAGAGGGCGGAGGACGGGGCGGCGGGCAGAGGGGCGCCAGGGCGGGCCGGCCGGGCGGGACTAGCCGGCGTGGTGGAAGGCGAACGCGGCCAGTCCGCCGTGGCCGGGCGTGCGCGGCGACGGGCACGCGTAGGGCGGGTACAGCGAGTACTCGTCGGTCTCGTACTGCCGGCTCATTATGGGCAGGTACGAGTCCGACTGGGAGCGCGCGATCTTGGGAATGTTCTGCAGGATCGAGTCGATCCGGTCCTCGATCTGTGGACAGGGGGAGGGAACGGTCAGCGGACAAAGCACATCAAATACTGATAATGAGTTGTAGTGGTGATGAGCTGAGTAATTATTGACAGGTGCACTAGGATGCAAAGCACCGATATTCACTTCAAACCACAGTGCATCATTGGTTACAAAATTGCTGGTCACAAGCTCAGTTCAATTACTTTATGGACCGTGCACATGAAGCTTCAAATTTGAAAAAAAAACTGCCAGCTGAAGTGACCATTAAGAGCAGCTACCTAATCCATACTGAAGGCAATGATGTTGGTCTAAATTCTTATTTCCGTATACTGCCGATCCGAACTGACCTGTCTGAAGAGCGGACGGAGATCGGCCTTGAAGCTGATACACTCTGTGATGAGTTTCTTCATCAGCTTTGGACACTCGGTCAGGTTGGAGAGATCGGGCTTCAGGAATCCCATGCCCACCATAAAGAGAATCTGCCGGAGACAAGAATGCGTCAAAAGCGTGGACACCCAGCCACATCTGAATCTCAGCACCAAACAATAAGTCGGCACTCTTCATTACATACAGCGAGCATTGTGGTTGACAAAATCGCATGGACTTACCATTTACCAAGTCCAGCCAACAATCAATGTGTATGACATTTAAGTAGGCAAATGCTCCCATTTATAATGCTGATACGATTTTGAACACGACCCTACCGAAATACCAACAAGCTACGAGTACACACTACAAAATCCGACATGGAAACAGCCCACCTTCTCAGACCGTTCCCGAGTCCCCTACACTCCAGTCCGCCGGCCGGCAGCCCCCCTCACCTGGTCCTTGTTGTTGATGTGCGTGTACGGCAGCTGGAAGGCAAAGAGCTCGTACAGCACGATACCGAAGGCATAGACGTCGCTCTGGAACGAGTACGGGTTCTCCTGCTTCATGCGGATAATCTCGGGCGCCATCCAGAGAATACTCCCTGTCAACGGAACGAGCGAAGGGCGGGGTCAAAAGGGCTCAAAAAGGGCTCACTGCAGATGGAGGCCAGGCAGTCAACGCAGTCCAAAACGGCACTACTAGACCCGTATCCGGCTACATCAGGTCCGATGCACTCCGAAGGTGGCGATATCGACAATGGCGTCAGTGTAACATGCACAGTATCCGTGCTTCTATCCTCAGGATACTGAAATCCTTCTCCTCCACGCCACAATCCCCTACCGGGCTGGACAGGCAACTTTATCTCATGCGGGCTGCTCCCTTGGAGCGGCACCGCTGCTCCCGAGGGAGCTGTACCCCGTAGCCGGGTGCAGAGAGTGCTTGGGGGGCTGGTCGGCCTGTCCTATGGACGGGCTCAGCCCCGGCGACTCTCTAGGGTGCCTGCCCAGACCAATGTCTCCCCCTAATTCCTATCATCCTTCCGGCTCTGCAATGGTCTTGTCGACCGAAAGGGCCTAACCCAACAAAACAAACAAAACAAACAAACATACACAGTAGCTGAGACCGTGACAACAGTGGATGGCGACCAAATCCGCAATGAGCACGCCCAAAGCTGAGTCTTCACATCTCGCGTCGCCACCAAAACTGACGCACCAATTCATCCCAAATAATCAAACACCTTGAATATTGATGCATATGAAGTCACTTCAACCCCGACCAAATCAGAGCGGTATCTAAAACAGCCACCACGTTCCCAGAAGGAGGCGCCATCTGGCAGCCCTACCGCTGTCTCCCGTAGACATATCAACGCTAGGTGCCATCCAGCCATCTCGGTCCGCGACCAGCGACCAGACGTGGCTAGCAACCAGACGTGGCTAGCTACCAGCAACGACCAGCGTCTCTGTCGGTACCCACCGGTCGGCTGCTGGGCCTGCTGGTTGCCCGACCACCGCGTCTTCACCGTGGCCAGTCCGAAGTCGCCAATCTTCACCGTGTAGTCATTGTGCAGGAAAATGTTGTTCGACTTGAGGTCCCGGTGAATGATGTCACGCGAGTGGAGGTACCTGCGAGTAGGGAGGTGGACGTTTAGTCGGCATAATCGTACAGTCATCTGTCGCGCCTGGTGAGGCCCTGCAATAGGTAGGCGCGTACCGCTCGACTCAACGGGAACATCAGTTAACGACCTCTATGGGAACGGTCGAACATGTATTGTTGAATACAGTGAGACCCCTCAACTTTGCGCCTAACTAAATGATCAAAAACTCGCTTTAAATTCACATGAAGGACATGCCCCATTTCAACATGGAAATCACACCAACCAAACATCCAATTTTTACCATCATAACTTTGTATCTTAGTTCGCGCTTCTGCCCAATCTCCCCACCCCAGCCTCAAGCTCCCACCCACAACTGAACATCCCCCGCCACTTACTCGATGCCACAGGCGGTTTGCCGCGCAAAGTCCAGCTTCTGTCCGAGGTCCCAGTTGGTCTCGAAGACGTGGATGTGCTTGTATAGGCTAAAGTCCTCGCACCACTGAGTGACGATAGCCAGGTTTGGCCGCCGCACGCAGCCCATAAAGAGCAGAATGTTTACATGTCTGACGGAAAGGCCAGGTAAGGTCAACATTACGATATCGTAAGGGCTCCAAATAGAGGAGTTCAACAGCTGGCGGCATTCTTATGTCAAGTGGGTACACGTTATCTTATTCTTCAGACTCGCGCTTGGCGATACTACATATATACAAAGTACAGTAAGAAGCGAAATTCAGTAGAAAGAAAGAGGAAACTATGAACAATGTGAAATCGTAACCAACCAAAGCCCCTCCCGACTTTTCCACCGCCCTAACTCATCACCCACCTGGTCTTTCGGAGGGCGGCCACCTCATTGTTGAAGGCCGCCAGCTGCGCCGGACTGGGGTCGTTCACGTTCAGTATTTTCACCGCCACAGGGCCGTGCCAGTGCGCCTTATACACCGTCCCGAACGATCCCGAGCCGATCTTGTTGCCCATGAGGATCTCCTCCCAGGAGATCTCCCAGTCGTCGAACGACTCTCGCACGCGACTCTTGTCGAGTTTCTTGTTGCTGGACTCGTCTGCGGAGCGGGCGCGCGGCCGGGTGCCGCGGTGGATGGAGGTCGGCGAGCCATGAGCTGAGTGTGAGTGGGACAGCTTGGTCGGCGAGGAGGAGGGCGACGAGTGTGCTTGAGAGCCGGGAGGCACCAGCGCCGCGCCAGGACCTGTTGGTGAGGGTAGCAGCGCGCGGCGTCAGACACCGGGACGGGTTTGATTAGAGGGGCGAGTCAGCCTCGGCGGGTGGGTCAAGTCTGCAGGGAGATGAACTCTGGTTTTACGTCAGTCGGTGGCTTTCGGTCAGTCAGAGTTCCGCCCACAGGATGGGCGGTTGGCACGTAGTTAGTTGTTGGTTTAGAGGAATGAGATGCAACACGTGTGCTGGTACATTTCATGCAACGACGCCTAACAGTGGAAAAGGCAGCAAAAGAAAACCAACACCAAAGGCAAATATTTTGAACAGCCACGTAGTTCCCATGCTAAATGTAGTGCATGCTAAATCATCAACAGCAAGAAGATAATACACTGTAACTGCATTTGCCGATCGGGCAAGACAAACTCAAGGCTGTTTCCATTTTACCAAGCAGGTCGCGCCTCCTGGCTGTCTGCTCGCGGTACAGTAGGTACCCGTCTCTCTGTTCCGCCGTCCATCCGGCCTCCACAGACCTCCAGCAGAGGGTGGACGAAGGGACAGAGTGAAGGATGGACGAACGGAGGGATGGACGAACGGAGGGAAGGAGGGACGGATGGACGGCCGAGACAGACGGGCGGATGGATGGATGAACAGATGGATGGACGAAGAAACGAACGGAGGGAGGGGCAGAGGGACAGACAGACGGAGGGCGGGACAGAGGCACGGACGGAGGGCGGGACGCGCTCACCCACCGGCGATCGCCGCCAGTCGCGCCGCCGCCGTTTTGGCCGTGCGCCGCGGCGGTCTCTCCAGAGTGGCGTACTTGCGGCGCCGGCCGGGCGTGGCGGACGTGGCCGGCGTGGCGGTCGTAGTGGGCGTGGCGGCGTGCCCGGGCCGGAAGCGCCGGAGAGGTCGTGGTGTGGTGAGTAGCCCGGCCAGCAGATGGCCCCAGCCGTCCGGTGAGTCGCCGCCGGCCGCCGGCGCCGCCGCCACCGCCGCCGCTACACCTACACGGCTCGGGTTAGTCAGCAGAGGCTACAGGCCACAGTCAGACCAAAACCAGATACTGCATGCAGCTACCAGGACTTCAGTGCTATACACAGCTCAGTGGGATTAATTGTGGTTATCAGCTATGCATTCATTATTTAACACATTCATTTAAACATCAAACATCAAACATCAAATATGTAGCTGCTAGACTACGAGAGAAGCTTAAATACGCAAACGAAACAGAAATAACCATCAAAGTGCACATTGTTTTAAAGGTCATGCGAGTAAGACCACCACCAGGGGTTAGTCGGTTGTAACCAATCACCACAGTCATAACCAGTAACCAACACCAGCTGTAGAGGGAGGCAGTGAGGACCGAACACAACATGCTGGAGGCGTTTGTCGGAGTCAGGCGGCCGAGGCTCGCCAGGGAAGGACTGAAATTACGAGCAATCGTAGTCGCGGACGCGTACGCCGACAACGCACTACCGTGACGCCAGTTGACACGCGGGCGTCACGGCGAGCGCGTGTGTGTCGCACAATAAGGCGGCTCAGCCGACCGTGAGCAGCGTCAGCGAGTGCGTCAGAACACAGTGTCCGTCTCGGAGTCACATCGTCATCGGCAGGCACACGGGTATTTCAACGGCGCACGCTTTACGTAACGTGGAACATTCCCGGCGCAAATTACACGGGAATGCGCTGCTGTCCTATCTGTGTCCGCCCCTCCCCCGGCCCATACGCCGGGCATGCACGTTGACGGCACACACGGCGTCAGAAAAACATCATCGACCGGCGCGGTGTCTAAAAACAACCCGGTGCCGGCTGCGGCCGGCCGCCGGTGACGTCACGCAGTGCGCCAGTGACGTCACCGACAGCTGTGGCAGCCACGGGCCTAAATGGGCCGCCAGTCACAAACACGTGCGCCGGCTTCTGTTGTCGGCTGCCAGGGGCCCGGGTCAGGGACGGGGGAGTGGGGCGGGACGATGGAGGGCCGCTCCTATATTGTAGTAGGATTGCTGAGTGGCAGGACCTTCCCTCCTAGTGTGCGACACAGGCGCTCGCGGACGGCACTAGTGCGTAATAACGCCCCTGGATAGTTGACCAAGACCCGCCTCGGAGCAGCCACCTAAGGACCACCTGTTGATTGGCGGAGGCGCGCGTACTGGTCCCGAACAACTCGTCATAACAACTACCAGGCGGAAAACCCTGGCGGCGAGTGATTAGTTTCAGCGCCGGCGGTTGCGCTACCACGGGGAATTGATTATCAGGGACACGGCGAGGAGAGCGAGCACTAACAGGAACCCAGCACCGCCCCCGGGGAGCTCACTATCGCTCTCAACGGAGACATTCGGGAAACCGAGCACCGGCCTCACTACTTTCCTGACGACTTAATTGACACTGAAAATCGCTACACTCCCCAGTCCGCTGACCCCCTCCCTGCGCGTCTCCCTGTCGCTCTCTCCCCCCCCACACTTCTCTCCCTGTCCCGTCCACTGACCGGGGTAGGCCCGCCGAAGCTGGTCCATGCCCAGTGCCGCCGGGTCCACGTGGTTGCTGACGTTGGGTGCTGAGGTGCTGCGCTCACGGGCCGCCAGAGGCGCCGCTCCCGGCAGGCGCGGGTCGCCCTGCCGACCTCCGCGCAGGTATGACGGAGCCAACAGGATGCCGGCGGAGTTGTTGGCCAACAAGCTGCAGGGTCAGAGAGAAGGCCGGGTGAGCTGGAGCGAGCAGGGTGAGCAGGGTCTGAGGGAAGGGGGATGGGACGAGAAGGACCGTTCAGAAGGAAGGAATAAGCTGCGGCTAAAGGGATACCTAGGCGATAAAGGGGCGAGGAACTGCGGTGAAAAGTGATAGAAAGGGAAGGATTAGAGCAAGAAAAGTCACAAGGAAGAGATAAGAAGGGTCACAAGTAGGTAGAGAGCTCGGGTGAAAGGGGTCGGAAGAAAGAGATCAACTGTGGCAAGAAGATCAGTGATGGGGCGAGCTGTTATGATAATGACGATGAAGGGTAGATTTTACTGATAGCTGGTATATTAATTCAGAGCTGATAGCCGTACCTTGACATCCCTATCCAAAAAGCGCTCAAACAATCGAGGAATAAAGACCATGTGAGAACAAAATAACCTGGAATTCGGGTACATTATTAGCATGCACCTGCAGGACAGACTGCAAGGCGTGCCGCAGCTGACCACTAATAGTCTGCCAGCCCTCTCCGTTCGGTCTCCCTCCTTTTACGGTCTCTCTCCCACCCTCCATTCCGTCTCCCCTCCCATCCCATCCCGCCACGCACTGCTGGTAGTTGGTGACATTGACGTTGACCACAGACTGACAGAGCGGCGGCAGCTTCTCCGAGCAGTTCGAGTGGAACTTGTAGTCGCACGTGCGACACACAAAGCCCGTGAACAGCACCCGCCGACAGAAGCTGCAGAACACCAGCGGGAAAAACGTCTTGCGCACCTGCGGACGTCCAGAGGTCATGGTCAGAGGACAGTTCGGGGAGGCGAGGCGGCCGGTGTAGCACAGGTGATTAAAGGGAGACACATGTGTCATCAGCCAGCAACACTTATCACAGCACACTGGCTGATCACAGCTGTCACGGCCACTTCTAGTAACCGTGTAATAACCGGTAGTTAACAATAAAAACTACATGGTGGCACTATGCAAAGCTTGTGAAGTACAATATAACCATTTAGTCATCACAGCCATATTCTATTCCCTTACTTAACAGCAAATACATTGCCGCTATGCTTGCCACGTTGTACATCATTCCGTCGTACATATCATTAAGTGGTTCCACCAACAAAGTATCGAATCAAACAACTAAAAACCAGCTGCGTTATCATCCCCCGTTCTTCACATGTTTCAACGCGGCCGCCCCTCCCATCCCCCGCCCTCCGGCGGTACTCACAAAGTTGTGCGATATACTGGTGGTGACTGGGGTCATGTGGATCACTTCCACACGAATCTCGTCCACATCCAGAGACGTAATGTCCGCGTCCCACGGTATCCGGATCTGACGGACGGTGAAGTCAGTCAAACGAAAACGCACGGGAATGTACTTAGTGCCCCCTAAGAACAGGGACATACATCGGGCAGTGAACCAGAACAGAACGAAACCAGAATCCATTTCTTTTGAGGAGCACACAACAGCAGTTTCTGCCATATTTGCAGTTCATCGTAGTAATTCAAACAAATGCAATCTAAAGTTTCCGCTATTAGGAACCTTTCGAACAGAACACTTGATTTCACGAAACCCCAGTTGGTTCCACAGGGCACTCACTTTTTATTATTTACTACTTTCCCCTGTTCTCCCCTCCGCCCTCCACCACCGCTTACCTGGGGTTTGGAGCACTGGTACCCCCCCTCACCTGGGGTTTGGAGCACTGGTACCCCCCCCCCCTCACCTGGGGTTTGGAGCACTGGTACCCCCCTCACCTGGGTTTGGAGCACTGGTACCCCCCCTCACCTGGGGTTTCGAGCACTGGTACACCACCCACCGCTCACCTGGGGTTTCGAGCACTGATACACCACGCAGGTCTCTGGGGTGAGTTTGCGCAGGCTCATCGCCTTGGAGAGGGCCTCTCGCACGGTGACGCCGTACCGGACGGTGACGCTGGTGCGCTGCTGGTTGGGCAGGTGCGCCCTGATGAAGGCCTTCAGAGGTGACGGCGGTACGGGTGCCGGCGAGCCGCAGCTGCCCACGCTGACTCCTGGGAGAGAGAGAGAGAGAGAGGAGGGGTAGGTTAAATGGGGCCGAGAAGCGCGTCGACTAGTTTGTTGCGTTCTAGGATGGCAAGTGGGACTGAGGATGGGATGTCCGATCGGGCGGTGCGGTCCAAAACGGCAAGGGCAGAATAATTAAAAATGATTGGCAGACGAGTGACACGCCGCTTGGACAGCCACCTAACGGAGCGTCTTTCCAGATACATTGATTATCCAAGCGGATACAGTACACACACGGGTACAGACTTCCACCTAAGTTGTCGGAGGCGCAACAAACAACTATCTCAATCAGCACCACAGACGTTCCCCGACACCAGGTCCGGCAACAGGTCACAGAAAGAACAATCCCCGCATTCCCTCAACATGCTACGAAGTAGACACTGGTGAAACCCACAAGCCTTATACAATATCACAGTATGACGTAGGACACTTGTCTCTCCGGCAGCTCGGAGACGCTCTCATAGTCAACTGCGTGTCATTTTTTCACATCCGCGTCACCACGGAGCTAACTGCGAGCGGTGAATGTTAGCAACGCACGTGGCTCCGGGTCGTTTACGCGCCAAGCCGAAACGGGAGCAGTTGCATCAGCACACACGCACGCCGGCACACACACATACGCGGCGGGTCTGCCGGGTCGCGGGCAAATACCGGCAAATCGATAGCTCCGACGGCACGCTCCAAACACGGCCCGAAATAGACACAGACGCCGCGCGCCGGCAGACACTCATGCACAGGCGGGCCGGCCGGACCGCCGGCTGACATATCGGCTCCGGGCGGCCGCCCGCATACCAAACAGACCAGCCGAGGTCGTCCTACCCCAACACCGTCCGGCAGCGGGGCTCTGCTCGGTCAGACAGACGGTCTGTGCAGCCCGAGACGGACCCCACACCGCCCGGACAGCCCGTCAGCCGGCGCGGCGGGGACAGGACCTACGTCACCGTAAAATTCATTCCCGAGCCCGAAATGATCACCGGCCCACCGCGGCGTACTAGGCCGGTTTAAATTAATCGCCGTGAGCCAAGGCGCCAGCGACGGCGCAATACCGCTGAAAGGGGGACGCTCGTCGCGACAGCGCGGCCGCCCATAGTCCCCGAGCCGGTGCCAATACGACTAATTAGGTGCCGGCCGAGCCGCGGGAGCCGCAGTGGCGTCACGACACACCGCAGCCACCCGGATGTCACCGGAGGGATGCGCACGTCTTCAGCGCGCAGAAAGAACCCAGAGTCATTACCGGCAGGGCTGCAGCCGGATCTGGAGACGACTCGCACCCAGCACGCAGACATTCAGTTTCAGCCGGGTTTCCGGCACGAGTACCAGTAGTTGCGAGTGTGTGTGTGTGTGGGGGGGGGGGGGAGGAGGAGGAGATACTTGGATACAGAGACGATGTGTTTTTGGGGAAAGTACCGCACATTCAAACTAATCCTGGAAAGGCAAATGTTGCCTCGAAGCTCAATGATTCCGCTTTTCAAAAGCATCCGACACGCATCAACCTGGGCAATGAGTGCTGCTCAGTTGTCAGGCTTTTGTGAATCTGTTATCTGAACGACTATTGAGTCTGAGCCTTTGAATGAATTCAATAAGCAAAACGGACGGCGTTCCCTTTGCGATAGAGGCAGCAAATTATCGTTGTTCAACTACACCTTTTTACGGCCAAATATAGAAATAGTGCACACAGTTCAGAAATAGTGCAACCATTTCGACAGTTCGGCATAGTGCACCGCTTCTTAAGCCGAGTGCATGAAATTCAGTAATAGTGCACACGGCTCCGAAACAGTGCAAGCAATTTAAAGGAGAATGCATTCATTTTCAGTAGTTGCGATTTCAGTTTCGCCAGAGTGCATTGCTTCGTCATATGCATTGGTATTCGGCGTACCGCAAAGCAATTTAGTTAACCTTCAAGCGAATTCGGTGCCCCATCTATAAAATATTTTTGACAACGCTCTTGCTGTTCATCAAGTGTAGCGTGGTGCCGTTCAAACAAGCTGCTAATGAAATTTTACTAAATTATTGAAATTTTACTGCTAATAAAAATTAACGAGATTTTAATGAATGTAATGAAAAGGCCCAATTTAGGCGGCAGTGCACACATTTCAAAAATAGTGCAGGCGATTTCGACAGCACGGCATAGTGCATTGATATATTGAATCGCGGCACGATATTCGCCATATTGCAGCCATTTCGTCATAGTGCAGGTTTAAAGGTAGTGTGCCAGCTTTCTTGGACCATATGGAGTTAATGACCCGGATAAGGAGAACCGGATTTTTAGAACTTATCCATACCTTCAAAACTTATGGAAACGTCTTAAATTCTTCAAATTTTGAGTACCCCAGTGCGAAATTCGCCCCGACGGGTTGTCGGTCGTACCCCAACCACATTTCACACCACTATGAACAATAAATGCACACACTAAAATCGCTATTACCGATAGGCTCATCCAATCAAGTTTCGGTAAACCCGTTCATCATCATCTCCTGCGGTTTCGAACACGCCTGTTAGGTGGCTTCTGATGCTCGTCGAGGTCGGAATTTCCAAATACGCGTGGTGCGTCGGGCCGCGCGCTCTGACTTCGGCCAAGAAAAATGCGTCAGCTGATCATTGTCATTTCTGCCACTTGCGTGTGGTGTAATGGGGTCATAACTTAAGAGACGGCTGTTTCATATCAATTATTTTACATAAAATCATATTTCAAACCACAAATTAATGTTCGACAGCCAAATTTAAGAAACAATACCAATACAGGCTTACAGTTTAAGGCTCGACATTGTGTTGTCTACGATTAGACAGCTGATAACTCATTCCCGTACGTCGTATGGTCGTAACACTATAATGACCTTTGCTTATTGTCACAAGTGCGCCGCATTCGCGATTGTTGCCCAACGCCTGTTTGCAGGTGAGCCCACTACAGTTGTTATACATATCTAAAAACCGATAAACTTTTAGGCGAAAAAGGCACTATTCCAGGCCCATTTTTGATTTTTTTTTGCGATATTAGGTAAAAACAGAAGCTTCTTATCCTAGGAAAAATAAAACGGGAAATCTTTCAAAGGTGGCACACTACCTTTAAAGTGACCCAGGTTCAGGCATATTAGACATATCGCACATTATTCGTCAGATCGTTTCAATTTCGGGGTCCCGCATGTAATTTAGGCACTGTTCAGTAACACGGCATTGCATAAATAAGTAGTAACAATTTTTATTTGACATTTCACGCTACCTGAGCCTCCAATGACACTCGTAGTCAGTCAGCAACGCAAAAAAGTCAAGTAGCCAGCTGCACTGCTCTGGATGCAAAAGGTAGAGGGCATTTAATGCTTCATCTGGGTGCCTTAGCTTCAATCATATAAGACATAGTGCACATAATTCGTCGGGTGCTTATATATTCGGCATGAGCAATATTTTTTTCGGCTTTGTTCAATCAAATTCGCCATGATGCTGAAAGGCGATAACAAGAATCCATAGCATTTCTGATCTTTTTGAACCAGCAACGAATTTATGCACCCGATTCAGAAGCCCTGAATGCCACGTGACCGCCACTCGACCGTGTCACCGAGTTCTTAGAGCGAGACTAATGATAAGTTAATTCCTGAGAGCTGAAACTGCATTTGAGCAGGTTTTTGACCAAGATTCACGCTACTCTTGACAGGCAGATAGGGGCTTTCAAAAATATTTTCCCAATCCAGCAGCGAATTCTCTTGAACATCGCCAGAATTCGCTGCTGGATTGGGAAAATATTTTTGAAAGCCCCTATCTGCCTGTCAAGAGTAGCGTGATTGGAGGATCAAAAGCATGCGATAGCATGCTTTTGCATCCGGAAATTCCCATTGGTGGGTCGCTGAAAAAAAGTTCGGCTGAACCTGTTTGTCAGTGAGTGAGTGAGTATGTGAGTATGTGAGTGAGTTTGTCCAAGCTTTTTTGGACCTGGAGTCAAAATGGGTGGACCGATCGGGACGAAAGTGGGACCGTTTGATTCGTCTCCGGCGAGGTAAACTTTTGGTGCTGGCCTCGGTTCTCTCGGTGCTTCGTGGCACATGCTATTCCGCTTCAAAGTTTCGGTGACACGAATTTTTTTTTGTCAAGGCTACAGGTCAACCCGAAATGGGACCGTTATGAATGGCAAAACATGTCCCGCAGGATCTTAGCAATGGGACAGTCAGCCTTTTATGACATTCGTGACCCCCTTCCCGAAAAAAACAGTGTCTCCACCATCAAATCCCTGGAACTTTCTGCCCTTAGTTCCAAGGCCTTCACAGATGACATCCATGAGACCACGACCAACAGAGGCACCGCCTAGCGAAGCTGTTGGCCCGGCGCAGTGGAGTTGCACCTAGACATTGGGCAGCTATTGCAACCAGTGCATCTGCGCCAATCAACCTCCAAAGCCAACCACCTCCGCGACATCTATCGCCCGCATTACTCGTCCACTGCCGGTGCGTGAGAACTCCACCGCAGGACTCCAGCGCTACCTACCCGCAACTGAACAGCTGATGTGCTACAGCACCCGAACGCCACCTAGTTCGGACAGTATCACATTCATATTCACTTCAGCACCAACTGGCATGGGTCGTCCTCCACAGCACAGTCCTGCACCAGGCGCTACAAACCAAGCAACACTCAACATCCCGGCACAAACTACATCAAAATAGGCTAACTGAATTGTACGAGCTGTAGGACGAACAACTTCTAAAGGTATCTCCACACCACCCACTACCACATCCACTGCCTTCTTTCCTCACTCCCCAGCCTCTCCGGGTCAGCACCCCTCCCCGCGCCCGTCACTCACCAGAGGAGACGTGGGGCACCGGCCGCTCGACGGTCTCGCCGCCGGCACCGGCGCCGTCCAGGCCCCCGTTGGTGCTGGCGCCGCGCGCGATCGCCTCCTGCAGCTCCTGCCGGCGCGCCTCGAACTCGTGCAGCTTGTGCGTCAGCTCGTTGTACTCCTGCGGCACGTTCAGGGAGGCGATGTGACTGGGAGGACCGGAGGGTAGCCGAATAGGTGACAGGACGGGCATAACGCACATCTGCGCGGCTTCAAAATATTTCAGGACGACTCTTCGTAGTAACACCAATGACTGCTACGAAAAAAGACAAATTGAGAAATTGCAAAAAATAACAGAAATTTTTGACATTTTAATGACAAAGGTAGCTTACAATAAATACAAACACATTTTGTACCAATTGCGATTGCGAACGACACATTACATTCGTAAGTCGTAACATCAACGTGTAAATCTTACAATAACCGACGGCTTGTAAAACCATCAAAAATGGTAACATGAAACAACCATAGTTAAAGGTGGCACCAAGGCAGTATATACCGGTGACACCACTGCGAGCGAGTGCCGGTGGCGGTACTTACATCCAGGTACATATTGGGCGGGTGCTGGAAGCCGGCGAACTTGGCGTTCAGCGCGTCTACATTCTCCTTTTTCAACCGTATCACATTCTGGATGTTTTGTAACTGAAACACAGAACGGACAAGATGTTACAAACATTGCTGCGCAACTCATTAACCCAGAAGATGGATGAGGGAGACATTCATGTCAGCTTGTGCCTATCTCTTATCCATGCCCAGTCTGAATGCATAAATACGCATTACACTACATTTAGAATCCTTTCTGAATAGGAAATATACAACAAATAATATCAGCACAGACACGGTCTGCGATGCTAGTGCGACACAAGCATCATTGGATAAATCATCAAAGCATCATGTCTGGACATGAAAGTCGGGATCAAGGCTATCTAGTCGGGATGCCATAATACGCCAGTGACATACAGACTTATTTTTAATGCCATCGACTTCTTAGAGTTGCGTACGCCACCAGATATAGACTAAGGCAAAGTATGGCGTCACTCGATAATGACGTCAAACCACAGCACGTCATCATACCGCGGACGGATAAACGTAGAATCAACGCGAAATAATTCAAGGCATTTACGCTATATTGGTGCGGAACTTGTTCATCCCTCATTGATCAAAACATATCTTAATGTCGATACTCTGCCTTTTTTTGTGGGCATTATATGTCAGCATTCTGATAACGCCTGTTTTGTGGCAGCGATCTCTTACTATGGAAAAAAGACGCATCTATTCGCCATCTAATAGACCTCCAACTTGGTGGAAAACCGAGCCAGTCTTTGTCAGTCCTCGACGGGAGACATCTGCCAAGCTAGTAAAAATATCACAGTTAGCTTGATGACAGAGGTCTATGCTTGATGCAATCTTACACACATATTGATCATTTGGCTTGTATCACGAATATGGCCGGCCAGTGCCAGACAAAAGACACTGTGTTTCAAAGTAGGGACATAAGGTTGAGGCAAATTATATTTTCGCAAAAAAAGGTTTCTACAGAACCCTTTTTATAGAAAGAAAGATTTTTCAATCCACCAGACCATGATTTCAACTAACGCCCTATACCGACAGAAAACTCAACGGGAGCGCACCCGAGCCCCCGTTAGATGTCGAGCCAGTGCAATATGACATCACATCGGTGCAACACAGCTCTGGAAAGTGTCATCAGGGGCGTTCCACGACAAATCGACAAATAAAAAATTAAATTTGCACCCTCATACTTTATTTTTCGTTGAAAACTGGTGTAAGGGGTTGTGATGGGCGGGGAAGCCAGCTGTGGCAAGGATTTTTTTTCTCCGAACAACGGTTTCCGAGATATAACCTCGGGCAATTCCTGGAGGTCGCGCTGCAGCCCTATGTTTGGCGGCCTATAACTAAAAAACTATTGGTTTTCTACGATAAAAACTTCATATGGTTCAACTCACAATCAGACAACAAACATTTTGGCTATCTCGGATTTTCATTTTTTGAAAATTTTGATCATGTGACCTTTTGACCTATTTTTCGAAGAGTGACCTTGATATTTTCCCCACTGAAAGTTGCAATTTTGTCTGATGACGATTAAAGCCTTATCGATTGTCATTCATATGCGAAAATAAAAAAAAGTGGATATCGCCCTGCGTTGACCTCAGGTCAGGTCATTTTTATGACCTGTCCATTATTACGAGCGGGAGCGACAGTGAGATCTCGAGAATAAAGCAAGATAGCGACAAGCAGTAAACGTTGCAGGGTACAAACGGATAAGGTCTATAATTTTTACTGAGGTCATTTTCAGGTCAGGTCAAAGATGACGTCACAGGAGCAAAAAGGAAGTCAAAATTGCGGCACTACATATATATGAAGTTTTTCTCGAATAACTTTCAAGGTATCCCAGCTAGGAACAAACCAATAGCACCATCGTGATCCTCTCGTCGATCCGCATCGAAACATATGTATGTTGACCTCGAAAGGTCGAAAGGTCAAAAGTTGACCTTAGGTCACGTGACGAGCGGGAGCGACAGCGAGATCTCGAGAATAAAGCAAGATAGCGACAGGCGGTAAACGGTGCAGGGTACACACGGATAAGGTCTATAATTTTTACTGAGGTCATTTTCAGGTCAGGTCAAAGATGACGTCACAGGAGCAAAAAGGAAGTCGAAATTGCGGCACTACATATATATGAAGTTTTTCTCGAATAACTTTCAAGGTATCCCAGCTAGGAACATACTAATAGCACCATCGTGATCCTCTCGTCGATCCGCATCGAATGATATGTATTTTGACCTCGAAAGGTCGAAAGGTCAAAAGTTGACCTCAGGTCACGTGATCTAAGGTCAACTTTTGACCTTTCAACCTTTCGAGGTCAACATACATATGTTTCGATGCGGATCGACGAGAGGATCACGATGGTGCTATTAGTATGTTCCTAGCTGGGATACCTTGAAAGTTATTCGAGAAAAACTTCATATATATGTAGTGCCGCAATTTCGACTTCCTTTTTGCTCCTGTGACGTCATCTTTGACCTGACCTGAAAATGACCTCAGTAAAAATTATAGACCTTATCCGTGTGTACCCTGCACAGTTTACCGCTTGTCGCTATCTTGCTTTATTCTCGAGATCTCGCTGTCGCTCCCGCTCGTAATAATGGACACGTCATAAAAATGACCTGACCTGAGGTCAACGCAGGGCGATATCCACTTTTTTATTTTCGCATATGAATGACAATCGATAAGGCTTTAATCGTCATCAGACAAAATTGCAACTTTCAGTGGGGAAAATATCAAGAGCACTTTTCGAAAAATAGGTCAAAAGGTCACGTGATCAAAATTTTCAAAAATTGAAAATCCGAGATAGCCAAAATGTTTGTTGGCTGATTGTGAGTTGAACCATATAAAGTTTTTATCGTAGAAAACGAATAGTTTTTTAGTTATAGGCCGCCAAACATAGGGCTGCAGCGCGACCTCCAGGAATTGCCCGAGGCTATATCTCGGAAACCGTTGTTCGAAGAAAAAAATCCTTGTCACAGCTGGCTTCCCCGCCCATCACAACCCATTAGACCAATTTTAAGCAAAAAATAAAATATGAGGGTGCAGGGCACTTGTCGATTTGTCGTGGAACGCCCCATCAGTGTTTACTGGCTATCGTATTAGGACAAATGCCCCGAGAAAAATGGACAGCACTGGGCACGGAAACAGTAGAGGAAACGGCCGAGAGTACGGGGACAAAATGGGGAACGGAACAGGACACATAGAAGCACGCAACATGGAAACGGAGCGGCACACGAGAACGAAAAGGGAGGAGATAGGGCGCTATTTCCATTGCGTGAAGGTGCAGTTTCAGCACCGTCGCGTGCCAGCGGAACCGACACACCACTGTTGACCGGCCGCACTATATTATCACGGTGAGCACTCGTTTGGACACCCGTGCTGGGACGTCAACACGACGATCCACATTAGGTAATCCATACTACCACCGCAGGTGAAGGCAGGGCAGTACGTACGCCGCAGCGCGGAATAAGCGTCATTAGGCATAGGGAGTGCAAGCAAGAAAATAGCCAGACTTGCAATTGAACTTTAATAAAAAAAAAGCCGGCGGACGCGCGTCCCCCGTCCATTCCCCCGCACCGTTCGCTCCGATCGGTGGGTAGTTACCGCTAGCCGGTCAGTACCTACTCGGCGGTGACCGCACCGCCACAGATCCGGCTAGGACGGGTATTCCAGCGCCACTCTCCACTTTTCACATTCCACCCTGTACCAGGTTCCAGACCACACGGGCCTTGGCCACTAACGACACAATTCACAACAAAATGCTGCTATCAGTCCACAGGTATGCCAGAACGCGCGTCAGAATTACACCGAAGACAATAAGCGAATGCGCAGCGAAATAAAGTGAATGCTGAATACCTAAATAAGTTGAGGGGAAAAGTCGTCCCTATATACTGCGCTGTTTTGTGAATGTTGCGACATATAGTTGCAATATTTTAAACACAAAGCGATAGAACCAAATGAGCATTTCAGGCAGCAATGCGTTAAATTATTTGCGTAGGTATAACGTTTTTCTTTGTGACATGAATACTAAGAGTTGATGGAAAAAAGAACGTCCAAAACTTAGTAGGAAAGGCTGGTAAAAAAACAATAATTGCACAAAATTACGCACTTTTAGTTATCATCTTTTTCTTATTATCTTTTCCTTGTTATCTTTTTTTCATCCTTTTCAGGGCACCCGGACTTCAGAATTCATCGGCGCTTTTGCCAGTTTCACCGAGTTCAATCGTCACTTGCTTTTGCAATCAACTTAGGAAAATACCCGTTCATCTCTGCTCTTATTTTCAGCATGTAAAATGAGAGGGGAATGTTCCCGAAAGAAAATGGACAATGATAGCCACATATCCACCATCCGAGAACCAGGAGCCTGCCTCAATATTACGGATATTTAGAGCCACAGGGCCAAAATAGCCAGACATTTGAAAGTGCCACCAGTCGACCACTGCAGGGTTCTCAACGTGTCGGCTCTTGTGAAGACATTTGGAAGCTGAAGCCAGAATCAAATCAATGTCAACCAAAAATGATTTAAATATCATAAGTCGTCACCTACAATTTACAAAGCTCGCATGCGCACAAATGGACACGTCAGTGTAAGGCACCGTCCGGATTTCAATTAGAAACCTAATGGACCAATTCCTCCACGAGCGAATATGGAGGCAAAGTGTGGTTTCCAATGTGTAGGGACTTGTCTGAACGCAGACCTTGGCCTAAGAATTAATGGCATGAGCAGTCATGCAGAAATGAGCAAAAATAACGTTCTAGGCAGACTCCCACTGCATTAAAGGAGCATCAGAATACCGGCGAAATGCCAAAACTATTCGATGGAATAGGTACAAATACCGAATTGGCATCGTTTCAACCGAAAATGCTGAAAGCCAATGAACACCACTAGTCCTGCCCAATACCTGCATGGCAAATTCCTTCAGACCTCAAAACTTCATCTATCAAATGCAGCTCCCCGCCAATGACGGCTCCGCCCCGCCGGCCGCCCCACCTGCACAATGGCCTCCTTGACGTCCATGTCAGACGGCCAGGCGAACTGAGCGTCTCGGATCTGCATGGTGGCCGGTGCACCGAGCGTCCGCCGCCCGCCGACCCCGTCCACTGGCCGGCCGGCGCCCCACTGCCGCCGCCGTGGCACGCGCCGTGGCGCCGCCGCCGGCGGCACCGGCCAGCTGGCGCACCTGCGCGCGGCGGCGGCCAGCTGTCCGGCGGCCAGCCACAGGTGCCCCGCGGGGCGGCAGACAGTCCTCTCGGCACCTCCCTGACCCTGCACCGCCTCCCTGCGCGACCCGGCCCGGCGGCCAGCTGTCCAGGTGCCCATGGGTCAGCTGTCCTCGCCAGACCTCGCTGACAGGGCTCGCACCACCCTGACCGGCACGAGCCGTCCTCTCCGAGCAACCGGAGAGAGACGTAAAATACCTGTCGGTCCCCCGCGCCGGCCACAGATGCCCGAGGGTCGGCCGTCGTCATCTCTCCGCGGTTCCTTGCTTTAGCAGGCCCCTGGACCCATCTCACTGCAATCAGGACCCCTCCCACTCGAAAATGGGCAACCGATTGGCTATCACGGTGATCGGCCCATCACACATAATGCCGTTTGACCTCCGCAAGGGAGCATACTCTTTTGGTGTAAACATTATCAGTGAATATGGACGCCCGCGATGGTTTCAAAATCTGCTGGCTTTTCTGTTTGAGCACAGCTCTTGGGCTCGGGACTAATGACACGTTTGGTGATAATGGAAGGATGGCTGGACTGACTGATCCCATTGCAACTTTCCGACCCAGCAAACACGGACGCAGCATCCCTATAATGCCACGACACAAAACACCAGGACACGCTCATCTAGCGATGACGCACGACATTTCTAACTCCACGAACACAGCAAATGAAACACTCCACGGGTTTTCGGATTTTCAATCCTCATCTGCGATCCGTCATTCCCCTCACTGTTCTTCCATCAGTCAGGGACAGTTTGACCACTTATCAGGCCGAGTGCAAGCTGATCCCAGAGCGGAAAGACCACTCACTCGGCCAGCTCGTCAACCTGGCTCAGTGCCGACAGCCGTGAGGAAGCCGTACGGTCTGTGAGGCGCCGCCACCCTGCCGGCCCCCTGCGAAAGGGCTCACTGCCTGTGCCGCAGTCTCCCCCCCCCCCCCCGGTGAACTGGCCCGCCGGTGTCTGACCGACCAGCTGAAAGGAATGTCCACTCAGTGTCCAATTCAGGCCAATGTCAATCAAGATGTGCACCGTCGCCGGCCGAAGATGAATCCCGACCAGTTTGGGGCAGGTTAAAGATGACGGTAATAGGTAGATTGACTCGGTACCGGCGCCTCTACAGGTGCTCCACCACTACAAATTACATTTTAATGTGCGCCATGCGCGGGTGTTTACCGCCACACACCACTTATACCATCACTCCATGAAACGGCGTGCAGTGGAAAAGTGAGGGTGCGTTGACACCTCACGTTTGGCGTCGTCGCGGGCAGACTAGACTCTTTTCTCTTATCCAGACTGCCTGCCTGGATAGGAGAACGACACCCGTTACAGCGGCGCGCCGCCAGACAGCTGAGCAGCGTGACGACCCACTGACGAGCCGCCACCGTCACGCGTCACGTCACCGGCACCCAGCCGCCACGCGCAGCCGTAGCTCGTCCCAAATGATAACGATATGTCGCGTCCACTGACCAAATCCTGCCCTGAGGCATGGTGTCACGTGACCCCATCCTGCCCTCCGGCATCGTGTCATGTGGATACCATACAACCTTCGGGCATCATGTCACGTGACTTTTAAGCGGCCCGTGTAGTCATGTCACGGCACTGCACCGCTCGACCGTCAAACGGCACGTGCCGCCAGATGAGACAGAAAATTGACCACACTCGCCACACACAATAACAGGAAATTTGCATTTACATTACACTCGATACGAAAACAACATGCAACCGGAATTCAGCAAATGTAATTCCCAGTTATACACCCTTGCAACGCTTCTCGGTGGATGGACACGTGCTAAACTGTGTCTTTTGCAGGACAAAATCCCAATAATAAACTATCCGTTACGGTTTCTTCGAAGGTGCTGCTTCAGTAAATGTCCACAAGAAATGACAAAAAGCCCACTGGGTGTCACTTTGCACTAGTTGGGCTGTGCGCCTGCACCGTACAAGACGGATAAAGCAGCCGATTGTGCAAAAATACCGGCCGGGCCGCTGAGCTGCCCTGGCTCACAGGATGTGTCAATCTACGTACAAGCAATGGCGAAGAAACACTCTCGGCAAGAAAGGCAAAGCCTATGGAAAGCCAAGAAAGCCTACGGACACACAGACTAATCGTCCACCGTTGGCGTAGTGTGACACATTCAAAGCGTCACTGGCTGCACCCTTCTGGAACCCATCCTGGCGGTTAGCGAGGGAGGGGTACATTGAGGTAAAACGACTAAAGGGAGTCAGGGACGCGGCGGACTAGCCAATATTCGCTGCAATAAGTGCTGTTCACGTTTGTTGTAAATTGCACTCAAGTGAGTTTGCTGGTCGAAATCATTTTGTTGGCGAGGCAAATCCCCAGCTGGATTTCACCTCGCTCAAGTATCAACTTAGTCAAACGGCTATGATAGATCACGGCAAATATGGCATGAGTATACACTCAAACACGCGAAGACTGAGCAGTGCTAGCAATGTTGATTGACAAATAGCGGTTAACCATAACGATTGATACGTGGAGTCAGGACCTTGGCAAACGACATCGATTAACGATTGGCACGGACTGGAGAGCGAAAGAACAGCCAAAGTAAATCGATTGACTCGCGACGGCAAACAAAATATGGAACCGGACAAGCACGACGAAATCATGTCAGAACTGTGAAGCTTCAAGCTACCCTTCGCCGCTGACCGACAGAACTCTCAGACGCAGCCAGCGCCACCGCTGGGTCGCGGTGATTACCGCCGGAACGGAGCAGGCCGGGCTGGGCCGTCCGCCATGCATGGTCGGCGGCGCGGCTCGCGGCGCCCGCTGCCCATAACGCTCTCCCCCGGCCCGAACAGCCCACGGCCACCGACACGGTGCCGGCGCGGCGGCCCGACGCCTCCCGACGGTCACGCAGCCAAGCGTGCACGGGGAGCCAGCCGCTGGAAGGCTGGCGACCTCGGCCGACCCGCCAGATCCGACCTTGTCCGACTCGCTACCGCTACACCGGCGGGTCGGCCGAGGTTCTGGTGGCATGGTTACGGTAGGCTCGTATCGGGTTACGTTGGACCCAGTGAGAGCTCGTCAACCAGTATCACCGCGTGTTCGCCGGGTACGTCGCTCCGGTGACGTCATCGGCCCGTTATCACACCGCCGCTGGTGTAACTCGGCGCGGCGACAGGTCCCTGTCCAGCACGGCAGTCCGTCGGCCGACCACCGTCGACGCCTTAGTGGCACCAGGGGCCGGCCGGCGCCCAATCAGCGACCAAACGGCCGTCCGGTGACGTCACCCATCGACGGCGTGACGTCAGCCGGGCCGACTATCGGCAGCGACGGTCCGATCGGCCGACCTGGGACGTCACCGGTTGACCTGTGACGCCAACCCGCCGACCGCCGCGGACCAACGAAAACAAACCGGCCGCCGTGCCGTGGGCCCTTCTGCCCACGGGCCGGCACGGAGCCAGTCCAAAGGCCGGGGTGGCCGGTCACCACACGTGGCACAATTACCGTGGAGACAAACATGGATTCAGTTATCGTGAGGCGGAGGGCAGTTGCATGACCTTTACAGTGGGTTTCAAAGCCGCATCCTCATACCGTCACGAAACGAACGCTAATTGTGACCGACGCCTTGTCACCGCACGTGGAGGTCGTGGTCCCAGGGCTGACTCATGATTACACCGCGGACAAAAAGAAAGCCGTTTTTTACAATCGAGCCCGCACAGTAGCTTAATGTGCTGAGTATAAGGGAAGATGTGCTGCATGGGATGATGAGCTGAGTGTTTGGGAAGATGTGCTCTTGATGTCATGAGAGTTTGAGCAAATATGCGCTGTTTGGCCGATGTTGTGAGTGTTTGGGCAGTGTTCGGTGTACGTCTTTATCAAACGTTGAGAACAAACCACGAAGCGGTGACTCAATTTGATGGACATATCTCAGGGGAAAAACTGGACGCCGGAGTCCCGATATCAGAGTTATCAGTAAGTGAGAACATATTTGCAAGTCTCTTTCGTTTACTAGCGCAATATAAACCCCATCTGTATCGCCATGGACGTCAGAAAATGAGGTCGATTTCATGAATGTCAATTTTTGCCATTTTACGTCAACCAAACCAAAGCGGCATAACAGGGAAATGGCGAGGCGTTGACCGACATAAAAAAACGACATAACGGAAGCGCGAAGTAAATAATGTTGTAGTAATGCCTGAACATGCCATAATGAGCACCACAAATCATCGGCGAGTTTGGCCTGCGGTTTATGCTGCTTGAATAATTGTTCATATTGCATCAACCTGGACCCAGCAAAGGTCACCGCCGAGCACACCAAGCACCGTTTGTTCCTTCTCTACAAGGCACGGCATGCAAGGCTGAACATAAACGTCCAGTTAAATAAGCCGCAGCCGCTTTTTAATGTAAACGCAGCCGGCGATCGCTCACGGCAATGGCTCATTGCGCTCGTCAATGCGAGGTTCGCCGTCCGTTTCATGGTCTGACTCATCACTGTTGACGCCTGCTCGGCCGGCGGCAAACGCGCTCCGTGACCGACCGGTCGGCCGGCCGGACCGAGAACCGGCTCACCGCCAACAGTGCGGCATTTTCGCCTCATTTCGCCCACCCGCGGCTGTCACAGACAGATCAAAGAGGCGCGCGCCCCGGCCACGCGCTGCTATCACGGAAGGTGTCACAGGGCGACACGGACACCCCACGGATATCACAAGGCGGCACGACACGCCCGGCAGAACAGTTCCGTGTATGCTCAGTGGCGTAATTTGTTATTCACGCCATTTGGTCAACCCGATAATGATATAACGGTGTTAGTTGGTATGAAACTGCTTCAGTTTAAGACAATGCCCTCCAACTCCAACATCAATACTGCTTGCAAGAAGCCATGTATAAAATACCAGTATAACGCCTTTTGGGGCGACTAACGGAGCGAGCGAGAGGGTGGGCCTTGCACGTGCGAAATTGCGAGGGGGTACCTCCAACTGACTTGTGCACGGCACCCTACTAACTGGTCTCTAGCGATGTGCCAAATTTGGGCACAATCGGCCCAGCCGTTCTCGAGATCTGGAAGCGGCACCCTGCACGTGCGC